CCTACTGCCACACTGTTTTCAAACAGTAATGACAGATACAAGAGAGAATGAAATTTCCTCAGTGCCTCAGCATATCATTTTTGCAACTTTGCTAGAACCATGATGTGGAACTGGAGAGACAAAGGACTCTAATTAGAGAAGACCCAGAACACATCTATGCTGAACACCCTAACCAAGTGAAAACCCCCCAGTGACTGCAGAGTAATGAAAGCCAAAGGTTCAGCACTGCTGGAAGCCTGGGGCTGTGCCTCAGGTCATGCTCAAACAAGCAGCCACACAGAGCCCAGGACCAAGAACTCTTATCCAGAGCAGATTAGGCAAGATCTGTGCCTATTTGCAAGTGTTTAATGAACCTGAAGAACTGCTGGCCTCCCGTGGAAAATTCTGCAGCTGCTCCTGAAAGCTGCCCTTGGCCAGCTGCTTGTCCAGGTGCCAGCACTAAGCCATGCTCTTCTCTGACAGGGGCAGCAGCCACAACAGGGACTCCTGGTACAGGCACTGTACCAGGACCACTGCTGGACTCTGCAATGGTCTTGGTTTGCAAGACCCTGGAGCAGATCAGCAAAGAATATGGGAAGTTCACTGCTGTGTGTCATGGTTTCACATCACAGTCATCAGCAGTATCCTTCACTAAGCATCCTTCAGATAAGCTGAAACACTTTGTCCAAATTAGTCTGATTTCCTTCTGAAAGTCAAAAGACCTCAGAACACTTGAGAGCAGCACATGGGAGTTTAAATAAAAAGTGAGTTTCAGCTCTCATGGAGTAAAAAACAGGTGCAAGATGGATTTTTTTTAACTTCCTTGGCTATTCTGAAGGTTTGTGTGCTTGGATCCATACCTGAAGACATTTATTTGCTAAGAAAGAAGCTTGAGAATTTATCCTGGTTTTTCCTAGCTCACAAGTTGAACCTGTGATAGGTGGCAGATGCAGGGCTTTGCTTCCCATCCAGACAACAAAGGAAATTAACATTGTCATTACAAAAAGGGCCCAAGTCCTTACAAAAAATGTTGATTAGTGAAAGTAGCTTCATTCTCATTGATCCTGAATGCATATCCACAAAGGGAAGAGCTCCAGACATGGCACTCACAGGTACAAATGTGTCCAGAATGTTTCTTCTGCAAGCAGCTCTTCATCATCAGCACCTGCCAGTGCCAGTTGCCCAAAGGAGTGTCATAGAGTGATGTTTTCTTGCTCATTTTTCAAGAAATTTTACTAATCAAAGTCAGGTTCAACTTCTTCAAACAGCTGAACAGATCTCAAAGGGTCTGTCTCAAGATTAAGGGAAGTTTTCAAACATACCCAAAGAACACCACCTCTTCCGCAACAGCACTTTTGATTAATAAGATGAAACAAATCTGTTTTACAGGTTTACAAAAGATAGCAGCTTAAGAAATGGCCTATATATTTGTCTCTTCCAAACAGAAGGAAAATATAGATTTAAATTTTTTGCAAGATTAAAGTTTGCAATGAGAACAGCAAGTGAAACACAGAACTTCTCTGATATTCTTGTGAAATTTGCCACAAAGGCCTAAGGAGAAAGCCCTGACAGACCTTGACTCAAGGAATGCCAACACCATTACTTGTATTGCAGAAAGCCAATGTTTTTTCATGGCAGAGCAGTTTAGTAGAGCTGGACTAGAAATTGAGCTGAAATATGTTCACCAGCTGCAGGACTAACAGAAAATTATTTCAACCCTCTTAAGAACCACTTGAGTACCAGCCACCAGGAAAAGAAAGGTTTATCTTTAAATATTTTACCTTTCCTAGCAGTATCGCCTCTGAGTTCTTCAAAGGAAATCCACCATATTTCTGATGTTGATGGAATGACCTTTATTTCCTTCTTAGCTGACAGGACTATTGCATCTGTACCATGAATTCCATGAATAAAACAAAATTATACACTGAGGAAAAACAAGGCAGTAAATTTGGATTCTTTTCTAATCGAATGATATGAGCAAATACTGAGAGACTGAGAAGCAGAAAAAAGAAACTTATTTACATATTCATTGAGTAATTTGTATAATCAGAAGATTTAAAAGGTCATTACCGGAACACCTGCCTGTTAACAGATGTAGAAGAATGAAGGCCAAAGAACACAGTTTTTATAAAGATGTTGATAGATAAACAGTTGGCAGATTTGCAGCTACCTGCTGGGGCAGCATTAGTTCTTTTGGTCAGGCCACTGTTGTGGATGAGGTACATCTGGAACTCATGAATCCATGCACACACTAACTATCCTGTTGCAAAGCTTACCAGTTGTTTATTAAGAACTGCACTGCTTTAAAATATCACTATTCCACCTAAAACAGCTTTTATCCAGTAGGGAAGTTTTATGTACTAAGCTGAAGTATGGGTCTGATGTTTGCACAGACAGCAGATACTAAAAAAACCTTACAGTCCCTTATGATGGAAAGAAAACCAGCACAGCAGATTGGAGGTACAGCTTTGCACAAATCTTAATCAAGAATGAAGAGCCTGCATTAGTTTGGCCAGATTAGTTAACTTCAATGTCAGTGCCCCTCAGTAACACTGGAGACTCAATAGCCATTTGCACAGGCCCACCCTGAGAATCACTTCACTTAACTGTACATAACCAAGAGCTTCATGTCCAGGTCTCCAGGTCTAAGCTGGAGGATGCAACTTTGGTCTGTGGCTGAATTGTTTTCTGGAGATTCCTATTAAATCTCCTAAACCAGACAAAACTAAAGCATCAGTAGCTGTGGTTCTGGCTGAGATAAATTCCTTCACAGTAGCTGTCATAGGGCTGTATTTCAGATTTGTGCTGGAGACAGTGCTGATAACAGAGATGTTTCAGCTATTGCTGAGCAGGGCTTACACAGCATCATGGCCTCTCTGCTTCTCACCCCACCCCTAAGGAGGCTGGGAGTACACCAGGAGTGTGGAGGGGACACAGCTGGGACAGGGGACCCCAAGTGACCAAAGGGATGTCTCGCACCATCAGAACAAACTGCAGGGGGAGGTTGTGGGGAGGGCACTGCCAAGGGACTGGCTCAGTCGTTTTATTTCCCTTTCTTTTTATCTCTTTTCCTCACAATTTGAAAAAGTACTATTATTTTTTCTTAATTATTCAAATGTTGCTTTTTGACTTGTGTCCTTTCAGTCCTGCCCCCATGTCCAAAGGGGTGGAGGCAGTGAGGGAGCAGCTGGGTGGTGGCTGGCTGCTGGCTGGGCTTGAACCACCCCATGAGGTCAGCCAGGTAATTTACAGGCATCTCCATTAAGGCAAAACAACATTGTGCAATCAGCATTCTTTTAGTCTTGGTGATGCCTCAGGTTTTAGCTTTTATATTTTTCACATTCTGTACTGCTTCAATTTGTAGTTCTGAGCTTCATATTAGGGGATAGTAAGCTCTCTTCACAGAATAGGGAGACAAAACAATTCCTTCTCTATCTGAGGACCAAGGACAACCAGTCTGGATCTCAGGCCCAAGAGCCTGATAAACAACATGGACTGAAGAGAGAAAAACAAGGATGGGACTTCATGAGCTAAAGCTGTAACTGGACAATTAACTCCAATGCGCTAATGCACCAGAACTGATAAAAGTGAGAGAATTTATAAAAGTGACCAGTCATCCATTTTGTGACCATTTTGGTTCAGCTTGGGTGTAGCCCTGGCTGGGCTCTTGTGCTGCCCAAGGTGTAGTACACCTTTTATTAAATACCTACTTTATTCCTTTAACACTGTCTAGCCCCTATTCTAGGTCAGCCTTCATAAGGCATAATTGGGAGAGCATCTGGTTGCATGAAGAAAATTAAATAAGTGGCTTAGATGCCTGCAATATCTGCATCCTTAGTACTAACTGATCAAAATAGCTATAATTTTTAAAAATAGTTAAATATAATATAATTTATATATTACTCAAGCCTATGTTTAATAATTAAGACATCTCCCTGCAGTGTATGAGGTGTTGAATCATCTGAATATTCAATATTCAATACTCCCCCCTTGTCAGCCAAGTTCTGCACGTCTCCAAGGATGGGTATTCCACAGGCTTTCTGAGCAACCTCTTCCATTTCCATTTACCTCTCATAATGATTGTTTTTCATGTCCAACAAGAAATTCTCTTGCTCAAGTTGTTTCTGTAGAATCATATTCTCCTCCATTCATCTCTGGGGAAAGTCTTTCCTTTACCCTCCTGCAGGCAGGTGCAGGTAGCAAGGAAGCTGCCCTCGTGCAGGTGCCTGTGTGGGTGGTGCAGGATTTTTCCATCAGCTCCAGGTCTTTGCTGAACATCAGGAGATGCCCCTTGGTGTCAGCTGTGGTTCCCAGCTGCTGTCATCTGCCATCAGTCCAAGGCTGCTGCTCACCCTGCCACCAACCAGCCCTGGCAGCAGGGCCTGCCCTCAGCAGTGCCACAGCTGCCAATCTCATCCCTTAGCAGATTATTCCTCCATTCTGATGGTCCAGCCAGTTTTCCACTCATCTGCCAAGTCTACCCATCCATCCCCTCTCTCTCCAGTTTGGCTGTAAGGATACTGTGTAAGACGTGTAAAAGTCTTTGCCAAGGATAGGAAACAGGACATGCTGTGCTCTCTCTTCTACAAAAGGGAGGGAAGTCAGGCTGGTTAAGCAGAGTTTGCCCCTGGAAAAGCCATGATGGCTATTCCCAATCACCATTTTGACCCTCACATATCTCAAAGTAAGATTCATTTCCATAACCCCTAAGAATATGCTCTAGTCCTCCCAGGGCCTGAGGTTATGTGTGACCTCAGTCTTAAGAGTATCTATGATATAATTAGTATTTGTTTTACAAATACTAAGATATAAAAATATTGATTTTACACTTCCCCCAAAAAGACATTTTTATACAGAACAACCCCTTTGCAGCTGTTGAAAAATATTTACTATTACATAATTTCTATACATACTTTTATACATTTTGCTTGCTTTAAATGTACAGAATAAGAGAAAACAGTTTTAAGCAATTCACAAGTTTACAAGGTAAGTTTTTTACAAAGCAATACACCTTCCGTCAATTTTCATGACAAAAGCTTCTGCGTGCTCAAGGATTGAAAAACTCATCCAAAATTTTCAGAGATGATTCACACAGGAATCTGAAATGCCAGAAAACAATGCATAACAGAATCAGAAATACTAAATGCCAAATCAATCCTCAACTATTTGATTCTCAGAGTACAGCCACCACGTGATTTCTTTGACCAGTTAGTCCACATTAGTTTATTAAAATGCCTTTACAAATTACTTTTGAAATAGCTGGATTCTTTTTCTTTCAACTTTTCCATTTTTCTCCTGATCATCTCTGTCTCTAGAATAACCAACAGCAAACCATTTTAAATTACTATGTCAATTCAAGAACATTTTCTAATATTTCATCATCTAGTTAAAGAACCCACTCATTTTCTGCACAGCATTGTTACTCTTTTATTCAAACAAAACAGTGAAGTCCTTTACAGGTAATTCATTCTAAGACTACTTTTCATTTGTCTATTTTCTTCATTTCTCCCTCACTCTTCAATCTTTAGAATTTTTCTTCTCACCTGTGGCAACTTTTTTCCAAGCCTGAGCTTTCACTCTCACCCTTATTAGCAGCTGCCTCCTCGAGCTGCCCTCACACTCCTCTTAGCCCTGCTCTGACTCTGATCTCTAATCTCATGCTCCTCTCTGTAGTGCCACAGCCTTTAAGCCAGGATGAAACTCCAGTGTCAACTAAAGGTAATGTACAAGGTACTACAGAATTAGGAGAATTGTTAAGTTCTGTGGGTTTAAGCACAATGCTGCTTTGTATAAATTTTATTTCATTACAGTTTATCAAGGCTAAAAACCCAATGGATTTGTAATGTGGGACCATTGGCACGTTGGCCAAAAGCCATCACTTGGGATAATTCTGCTCCTCCCAAACAGACAAGCTAAAGTCAGTTTTACCAAGTACCTTCCTAGGGAACTTAAAGATGGGAGGCAGAGAAATCATACCCAGTTATACACCAAAACAATTCAAGAGCAATAATTTACAGACACAATGACAGTGCAATTAAGAATTTGGGAACCAGCTAAATGATAATACTAAAATAAAATATTTCAGCACAGACATTAGCTAAATTTAAATTCTAATATTCATATATCAAAATGCTAAATAAATACACAGTATTAAGTAAAGGCTTATAATAATAATTATTAAATTATCCTATAGCACATCAGGTTTTACAGAATATGAGACATTTTTCTCTAGCCTCCAAATAACTGCTTGACAGCTTTATCTGCATGTTTTTCTTAGGCATAAATATTTGCATTTTATAAACTAATGTGTGTGCCATTACTCTTGAGGAAATTCTCTCAATACACAGTATGTTGTCCAGATTTTTTAAATGCACTGAACAGCATTTTTAAGATAAGAGACCCACAGGACCATCTGAAACCACTAGCTCAGCTGAAGAGGGAAGAGTAAATTGCAGTGAAAAGTTTTGCTTCTGAATTAGTGCACCAATTCCTTGTATAAGGGCAGCACCTTAATTACCACACCAGACAGCTTTTTTACTTTTTTCTTTCATTGCTAATATGTAAGAGATTACTGCTAAGTCTGAAGTTAAGATGCTGGCACAGAATGCCAGTTCTCTTGGGAAATTAAAGAATGTCACCATTTCCTGGTATACCTGGGTATTGAATAAAATAATCCCTCAAGGAGTTATTAGGAGATAATGCATTCAGAAGCAAAAGATAGTAATATTATTAAGAATGAGTTAAAATCCAGTAACATATTTTAGCCAGCAGCAGCACAGTAATGTGTGTTAGAGGACTGTCTTCAAATTAATGACCAGAGATCTAGCTTGCAGCATTACCATAACTAAAATTTGTTGTTTGGTAAAACAACAACAAATGATGATAAAATAGTTTACAAACAATAGGGCATGCTTTAGACCATGTATAATCACATTTTAGCTACATTAGCACACAAGCAGCAGAGCACTACAAATGGCACATCAGAAGCCACCAGAGGCCCGGCCCAGTCTGACGGTCTGTCTTAGCTGTGAGACTGCAAACACACTTTAATTCATCATGCAAAACCTGATCACTGCAGAACTTCCTCCAAACCTCTTTCCAGCATCAATTATTTTACCCTTCTGGAAGAAAAATTCCCCAACATAACTGCACAAATATGAAATCCCCCCAAATTCTGCAAAGCTGTGTGATAGCTTCTGAATTTTATCATGGTGTGCAATTTCGATTCATAGAAAAAAATCTTCCCATCACATCCCTAACCCTTGAATTTTGTCTGCAACTGCCTCCTGGGTTGGTATTATACAAAGGTAGCCACTCATATGTCACGAAATTAAAACACTGTGTAGCATCTTATGCTCTTCATCTGCCCCTACATGCAGGTTGATTTGTCCCAGTTCACTGGGCAGAGACAATCATATAGATTCATAAAGCAATTATCTGTGTTCTCACTGAAATTTATAGTCACTAGTGCTCTCAAGTGGCAGCAATTATTCACTTTAATGTGCCTATTTATTTAATCATGTTAAGATTCACTTTAATTTCACAGCTTTTTCTACTGTCTTGATTAGAAGTGCAAACTGAATCACAATACCCTGCTGCTCTCCTTCTTTTCCAGATAATTATTATTATAATTGTTAAAATATTCTAGTAGGACACTTGGCAACCCATTGTAAAATAATTTCAAGGGGAAAAGAATGGGGTTTTGTTTATTTGTGTTTGATTTTGTTTCTAAGCTAGCTCCTGACCAAAGGACATCTTGTGCACAGCCAAGCAACTCTCCAGCTTTCCTGCAGGTCTCTTTGGGGTACTGGAAGGGACCCAGAGCACCATCCTCTGGACGGAGGCATGGCTCAGCCACCAGTGTCTATGTCAGGTCACTAAAATGCCAGAGAACAATGTGCTTCAGCCGGGGATACATGAGAAGAGTACACTGGGGAAGAGCTATGCAAGAAACTGTTGAGTAAATGAAGCTCCTATACAATGAGGTTCCTATACAATGGGCTTTTTGGCTCGTTTGGGAGGCTCTGATTTGGTTTTTTTCTATTTTAAAGTCTGTCTACTCAACATCCATTGTTTGACCCAATAGTAAGGATCACTAGTTTGAAGAATGAAAGACTGCAAGGGCCTCTGCATGTTCAGGCCTCAATGGTGTGCTGCAAACTTTCTCAGAAATTTTGGATTCATGTCCATAACCCCAGTCAGGTTTTTTCACATTCTGTATTTGTGCTTATAATGTCTCCTTTGCACACTTTCTGATTCCATGGGCAGTCCAATACTTAGGCAGAAATCAGATGTTCACAAATTTTAAGAGTTAAGCAAGTTTGAGGACTAAAGGCCAAAACATTTACCTTGACAGGCCTGAGATAACTGATTGCAAATACAATGCAGCCAACCACTTTCAAAAAACTTTTCACGAAAGATACACAAGATATGACTTGAAATCCCACCCCAACAAAAAGAGCAAAATAAAATCACCTGTGGAAAGGTCTCAAAGTCATTGTTATATTCAGTTAAATTTTTGCTACCTGCATAGATTTGGATTTATATGCCTAATGCCAAACTGGGAGAAAAATCTTCTAGTGATAAGAAAGAGTAACTGGACTATTTGCTTTGTTCTACCTCTGCTGCAAACAGACCTGGATTTGAGAAGTGAATCCTGCAATATACAGGATCAAGTGATAACACATTCAAATTAAATGAAAAAAGCCTGAAGCTAAATATGTAAAGATTGCAATCACAGCAGATATAAGGGCAGGAAATTTAATACTGTGCTGGGCTCAATACCTCCCACTTCCCCCCCTCCCCAGTATTTTAAACCTTGCAATCAATCACTCAGAACACTCTTAACAGTGTTATGTAAGTACAGAGCAGAGCCAATTATTGCAGAGAGGGGATAGGAGAGCTCAGCGCTCCTTTCCTACAGCACACCCACCTTTCAATGCCTGTGGATTCTCCTGTGGCAGCATCCTTGCATATTATCAGCTTCCTTTGAATGGCAGGTGCAATATCCTTTAGAAGTGAAGTTTTGTGCTTACCTATTTGAAATGAGTTGGACAAAAATAATAATGTTGGACAAAAATAATAATTTATCAAAAAAACAACCCCACCCTTCCACATTTTCATAGACTAACTTTAAACATAAAAGATTGCTTAATGGAAGATTAGATATTAAATTGGATTTTCACTGCCCTGGATTAACTACTGTGTATTTCAATGCAGTACATAAAAAGAAAGATGGAAAAAGGACAAAAATGTTTTAACTGACCTTTAATTAGAATCACAATGCAGACAGTAGCTGTTAGACTAAAAATCCCTTCAATTTCTTCAGAGAGAATGGACTCCATTAATTCATTTAAAATTGACCTAAGGAAAAAAAAAATTTAAAAAATGTTATAAACCACATTTCTTTCAAAACAGAACTGAACAGAACATGTTTGTAATTATGCTAGTCTGCCACCACAGCTTCAAAGACACCATGCAGGACAAAGCAGTGTGGCTGGGTAACTGAAAACTATGTGCTGCCTCTGGATCTGAGAATACCAATGCATGGTAAATTGTTTGGGAAGAAAATAAAGTCTGAAAACAGAAAAAGTGGCTGTTAAGAGAAGTGAAGAGCTTGTGATACATTTTAGGAAAGTCAATCAATGAAAAAACTACTGGTTCTACTGGAATTTAATTCCCAGAATTTGTACTGAAATTTCTAACTCAAATTTCTACTGAAGTTTGAAAAAATATACTTTATGACTCCATCGGTTTGCTAGTACCTACTCAGGCTTAATTAACATTTTGATCTTAAATGTGTTTCTCATAAATATTAAAATAGATGTTTTTCCAATTCCAACCCAGTGAAGATCATTTATAACTGAACAAGGCTCTGAAACACATCCAAGCAACATTTTAGTTACTGAAACTATGGACAGAATAACAGAACCATGACAGCAGCTCCTTGTAAAATACTAACTCAGTATGTATCTTAAAGAGATTTTGTGACTTCTAGCAAGGGATGAAAGTATTACCAGAAAACTCTAGAGGTCTTCTGGGATATATGTCAAGGTAAGAAAAATGAAATGAGAGTCCCAGATGGGGTCCAGCAACCAAACTAAACTGCAGGGGGGATTAAGTCAATACCACAGAATGGAAACTAACTGGTCATTAGTGTTTGTGGTAAAAAACTCAAATTTAACTCAGAAGCAATTCTCAAAACCAGAGAAAAATAAAAGAACAAAAGCGATAAAACAGGAGATGGAAGAGATCCATAATCCTGATACTCCTCAGAGCACAAAGCAAAAATATCTGTGAAGAACTAAAGGGAAAATTGAGCAATGCTACAGAAACTTTCCCTAACATATTTCAAAAAACCTTTAGCAATATTATTATCTGTTATGAAAACTGAAGATCATACATTGCCAGTACTGACTTCAATTTTTCTTCAGTCTTTTATTGTGCTAAGATTTCAAAATGAAATATGCAGTTAAGAACCAATTCAGTAGAAACGTTTTGTAGAAATTCAAATATTGCTTCTGAGAGCTGAGAAAGATGAAAACTCTTTAGCTTCAGAGATAAGCATTATGAAGTTGCTCATGCATTGCTTCAGTTTCATTGTATCATTGTGGACTAATGTGACCAAGCATTGATTCCATTTCACCTTGCTCTTAAATTGCTAATGGACAGCACTGGGATCAGAGCCCTGACTTCGTTGTTATCATTGTTTGGGTCACTAAGCACACTCTTAACCTCCATGAAGGAACACTGGAATTTCATTAACCTGCAACAAGACTCACTGAAGCTGCCTTTTCCCACCTCCCTCTGAAAAAGGGTCACATGAGCCTGCAGGCAAAGATAAAACAGAACAGAACAATAAGGTGTTTAAAATACATATAAGGTTCAGAGGTAAGTAATTGGCTCCTATACAGATAGTTCCCTACTAAAATGAAGGATACTCACACAATTGGACAGATACTGCCAAGCCTCCCAGTATTATCACTGTTAGGGGGATTGAAATTCAGTGCTAGAGACTGAGTAGTTGGTACTGAAAATAAAACAGATTCTGCAGAACTCACAGCAAGATGACTACGAGCTCACAGAGCAGAAGCTCACATCAGATTTCGTAACATCAAAGGGTTTCATGTTGACAAAGATTTTTGAAATACTGAACCATTCACTACTGGATTCTGATTATGGCCTATCAATACAGATTTATAAAAAAAGCCTTAAAAGTAGTCTCAATTCTGAGGCACCAGTAGAACCAGATGGAAATTATCTCCAAATCTTTGCCCCAAAAACATAAATGCCAGAAGATACATTTTTTCCCAAGTACACAGAAACAATTTGGCTCAAACTTGCAGTTTTCTCCACTAAGAATGGACAAGATTCACTTTGGTTACTACAAGAAAAAGTTTCAGAAGAATTAACTGATTTTCTGCAACTCTTTTGAAAAGAGATGTGTAAAATAATTGTTTCACTAGAAGAGAACACCTTGAGCTGCTGCCTCATGGCAAGATTTGGATTAGTTGGACTATTGCTGGAGTCTCCGGAGTCTTTTGTTTTGAAAGTTCAACTAGAATTAGAGAAGGATTGAGAAGGAAAAAAACACCTCATAACAGCAGAGACAGGGGTATTCAGTGCCTGTCAGATGAGGAAAGAAGAGGAATTAGCTGTGGTAAGTCAGGGAGAGCAATAGGACTTCTAAGCCCCCTTATAATTTAAAACAAGTCTAGTGTGTAGAGTCATGTTAAGAAAAATTGAATATGAACAAACCATGCAAAATGAAATACAATTGTGAAAATTTTTAGAAGATATTCAGGGCCCCCACTAAATAGAGCAAATACTCTCCCAGTTTAAGTCTTAAAAAATAAATAACATCAGCTCACTTTTGGAGGCTTTCAGCACTCAGATACTTCCTATTTTAAATGTTGTGACTTTAATACAGCCACAGGTACACATCACCTCATTGCAGATGTTCAATCAAAGGATTAATTCTATTTCTGGTAAATATTTTATCTCATCTTAATATCTCTGTGTTGAGGGGACTCAGCTTTATAAGTGTCTTATGAAAGAAGCAAGCCAAGATGTATGATTAAAAAACTCCTAATGATTAACAGTCTTGTAAATAAGAATCACCCTTGGTTAAAAAATGGACTCAACCCCAGCAATCAATACCTACAGGCAATATGTCAAGAAAAAGGGATTATTAAATAGTTCAGATTAATTTAGAAAGCAACTAGTTCTTCAAAATTTATTTGAATTTAGAAATTAAAATTTTATTGACAACATAGAAACTATTCTATATTGGCAAAAATCTTGGAGAAATTAATATAGAAACATTTACCTGACAACATTAACTGACTTCATAATTACAGTCATTAAACTGCTTGAAAGAGGGGGAAGGTCTGAAATACTCTTTGGCATAGTCAAGTCTTTTTCACTGGAAGCCTAAAAAAGAAATAAGTCAACAACTGTTATAGCTCAAGAAAGATATGTATGCAGAATATTATATTTCAATAATTACACTAACAATTGGAACATTCACAAGTATTCTTTGAATAGCTTTAATTCAACTGTGTTGTGTCCAAATAAACAAAACTAATTTAAATTAGAAAGACTGAAACTAAACCACATAAACATTATTTGTACCAAGGCAAATATTCTCTGCAGTTGCTTTCACCAGAAGTTTCATTCAACAACATTGGTGGTCAATCTTTACCAAGGCACAGCCTATTAGACATAAATTGAGTCCACTCTGTAGCTCCAAGTTGAAGTCTGCATCCATGATTTCTAAAGGAAACTTCAGTGACAGTGATTTTCTGGATACCTGCTCTGTTTGATGTAAAGTTCTGAATAGATGACAAATATGTAGTTAGAACTGAATGTTGATTTACAACAACCTGGGGGGGTGTGGAAAACCCCAGCTCGGATAGGTGACTGGAATGAACACTCAGTCTCTGAGTATGAATCTACACTATATTCAAGCCCAGAAATGTTTCTTCTGCATCATCTGTAAAGAGCACCTGTCACCCCACAGCCTCTCAGCTGATACATCAATATCTGCAGGCAAACAGCTGGTACTGCTTCAGTGCCTCCTGTATAACAGAACCTTGGAATCTGCTCTGTGGTTCCTTCTGGCAACTGTTTCTTGCTCTGTTTCTGACACATCCAGAACCCACAGCAAAAGTACAGCCTCTACTAAAGAGCCTCTGCTCTTCCTTTTTAGTTCTCAAAGCTTCCAATCTTACTAATCATATTTGCTCCTGACAGTACCTGCATTAGAAAAATGGGGTGAGAATGTTGCCCTTCTCCTTCAAGCACAGTTGTGGTTCCTGGGACTTTCAGAACGTGAAATAACCTCTGTCTACACATTCTTTTCAGTATCAGAGACTCTTTCTTTACTTTCCAAAGCAACACAGATCAGATATTTGGAAATCCTCTGCACAAAAACTAAAGGAACCATGTGAAATGCCTCTGCATGGAAGTAGAGAATGCACCAGCGATCAGTGCCAAGGAGGGCATCAGCCGTATTTGGAACAGGACTACAGAACCTTACGGGACCATTCCAAGAGTTGGGAATGGGAATCCGTCACACATCAGCAGTTCACTTCCAAAACCCCCTAATGCTGGGTGGGATGAAGTGAGGTTTGTTTAGAACAAGCCCCTGTCCTCCTCCTTTTCCTGAGCCTTAATTGCTGAACACAACACTGCATGGCCTTTGATCAGTTTGGGTCCATGGTCTCAGCTGTGTTCCCTCTCAGCCTCTTGCCCATCAACAGCCTTACTTTTTTTTAGAGTGAAGGTGAAGGAAGCAGGGAAATATTGACACTCTGCAAAGCACTGCTCAGCAACAGCCAAAACAAACTGGTGTGTCCTTAACAATGTCTTGGCTACAAATGCCAACCATAGCAGCACAGGGACTGCAGGGAGGAAAGCTGACTCCTTCCCAGCCAGACTCAGTACAAAAGCACAGAGGGAATATCCTAGAACCCATGTTATAAATTCCCAACACTGCCTAACTGCTAAGTTCTCCTGTCAGAGGCAGATACTGAAATAGGCATCAGGACAAGTGTGTTCCTACACAGCTGTAGTCAGAAATCTGAGAGATGAACACTAATACAAAATTATAGCAAATAAAATTTCCTGTTTGTTCCATGCCGACACACACAAAATCCTCATCTGCAGTGCAAAGATCAATTTTCTGAATAAAGCTCTGTCCTTCCAACATAATATTTAAAAAGCAGAAGGTGTTAAATAGAAAAAAGAAAATTAAAAGGATTAACTTTACCTTCTGTAGCACACAATTTATCTCTGCTACTATTGCAGCCAGGAGAGTGGAGAGTACCCCCTGGTGAACTGCTGGGAATGTGGAATGCCAGCACTGAAGTGCATGGATGAATTCTCCAAGAGGTATCTGAATGGAGTGAATCAACTAAAACCAAAAAGAAAAACACATCTGTTTTTTCAGACTGCTTGAGTATAAATATATATATATATCAGCAAACTTCTCTGTGAAATGTGGACCACACTTTGAAAGCTTTTGAGATATTCTAGTCACTTGGGATCAGAGGGGAAATCAGCAACAACAGGGAAGTCTACTCATAGATTTGAGAAAGAAACAAAGCAGTGGTTCCTACAAAAAGAACAGAAAGTTTTTCAGAAGTCCTGAAAAGTAGATCAGCAAATTTCCCAGTGTGATCCACCCATTTCACTACTATTTTGTATCTGTTTTAAAATACAAGAAGTCTACTTTTCTGTGAAGATGTGAGATTTTCAAGAATGTTAGAACATCATACATATTTTGAAGTTGGGATCATTAAGGCTAAAAGAAATAAATAATAAAGAAAATTTCTCCTCCCTCCAAGATCATTATATATATATATACACAAATCATTTGCTCTGGATTGAGGAAGTTAATCTAATTGCAGATTAGATTAACAGCCTAGAAGTACCACCACTGTCCAGAATCATTGGCAACAGAACGCATTTGTTCTGCAATTTACTGGTTCTTCTGTCAGACCAAAATGGATCAAAAAAAAAAAAGGTAACAAGAAAACTTTGAAAATTTAACTGAAAATTTAATCATGTGTCTATCCAAACAGTTGGTAATAGCAAGGTAACAACCTCAAAGTGTCTAAGTATACCCCATTGCATAAAAATTATGGATTCATCTACACATTAGCAATTACATAGCAATTTGAACTGTAATATGATACCTGAATTCCTTCTTCCTGTCCTTTCTTAAGTCTATGTGCCATACATTCTAAAATTTTCTGAAAGACGCTCTGTAGAGTGTGGAAAAGATTTGTCACTTCCTCTGCCTCAGTATTCTGATTTAAAGAAGCTTCAATAATTTCTTTTAGAACACACAGCAACACTGGAGCACAAAAGCCACCTCTTTCTAGAGAAAGAGATAAATGCCACAATATAGAAGTTGTAATATTAATCAGGTACAATCTTAGAATGAAACTCAGTTAGCTACAACAAACAGTGATAGTTTACAAGCGTAGACAATACATTTAGTTTCTGAGCACCCTTAGCTGAAATTTTCATCCAGTCCAATTAACATTTGAAGTATGAATCCAGTGTTCCCTCCAACTCTTAAAAGTTAGGGATTAACTAACTTGCTAATACAAGAAAAGTTAGCCAAGTACAAATGCAGATGTTGCTGTTAGTATAAAATAGGGTACCTGTTTGCACAATTTGAAGGGCCATTTCTAAAAGGTGTGCTTGAAACATGACATTTCCCAGGCCCACCATTATGACATCTTTACACACTGTCAGGTAGACCTAGAAGAGAGGTGCAAAATTATAGGAAACCCAAACTTTATGTAAAGTAAGCATTCAGTAAAACTCAATAAAACCATGAACTCTTAGCCAAGGTGCCTTGAGAGCTGGTGTACCTACCTGGAGTTACTCAGTTCACACCTGTTGGAAAGCATGAATTCCAAACAGTCCTTCAAATGCTTCCATTGCCCTTTCCCAACAGTAAATGATTTCTCAAAAGGCAGTAAATCCTCTCTTTTTTCACTCAGGCTCAGTGTAAATGATAGGTATCAATGACAGGCATTGATACCTATCATTTACTGAAGCAAAATATGACACCTCTACCTGCCTTCAATAGCAAAATTAAAATCAGCAGACAAAAAGAGTGTTTCCCTACAGACTAGTTGTTACATACTAAACAGATTATGAGATGGAAGTACAGACAGAGTGAGTGAGAACTTTTAATCAGTCTGTGTATATATGAGCTGGGTTGCTCAAAGACACTGACTGGGATTAAAGTCAGCCAAATCTTTCCTTTCACCAAAATCTGGTAAAAGCTCAGTACTAAAATGCACCTAGGGTTAAATGAAATGTCAGAAGAATGCAACAGAAACAACAATTCAGAACTAGCTAAAACCTCACCCACATTATATCATGAAATGCTTTCTTTGAAGGGCTAATCAAGATCAGGGGTATGGGACACTGTAGGTGATGACACAAATGCCAGCGCAGTTTGTCTGCATACAAATTGCTACACCTACAGCTTTTCAAATTGAAAGCAGCTTGATTTATAAGAATCCTCTAACCTGGATAATTAATTCAGAAACATCATTATGTTTCGAAATACCATCCTCTTCATCACTTGCTAGTATAAAAGGTACAACTTCACTTTCTATCCAAGCACCTGTCTTCGTCAGAAGTGAAAGGTGATCTTCTCCTTCTTCAGAAAACTGGAAAAAAAAAAAACCCCAAAGGGAAGTTTACCAATTGTCTCTCCAGTAGTTTTGGTACTTCCTTATACTGTCAAAAAAAAAAAAAAAGCTATGGAAAGCTATAACCATACCTTGTGCTGAAGATGAACAGCCAATCTGCAAAAGAGGCTGAAGGCTCTTAGGCTGGTTGCTTGATTCCAGCCACCAGAATCTATTCCTTTCAGAATTGAGCCAAGAACCCTCTGAAATATCAAGGTTAACATTTATATTTTTCAGAAAAACCTTTCAAATATTTCTTTACTCAACAGCTTTAAACAAAAAAAAAACCCTCAAACCCATAAAAACAGCAAAGCACCAACCCCAAATAAGCAACAAGCGTACTTTAATTACTTCAATTTTTCAATGCCATAACTGATTTTCAGACTATTCCTTATTCACATATTCTAAAAGTCAGGTCCCTTAAAAACACTCAACACTAGATCACAAAATTTTGAGACATCTAAAACTGAGAAGCTGGTCAAAATCTGCCATCTATAAACATTTTTGAACTACTATACTTTTAGTTTAGAGTATTTGTTGGAAATACAAACCAAAAGGAAAATCATTTTACCAAAAAACCTTTTTACAAAGGGAGAGGGCATTATGAACCTCAGGTATTTGTTCTTGCAGGCATTTTAGTTTGACTCAGGCAATATATGATGTTAAGCACTGATTTTATAAACACTGTTTATGAGAAGGAGAAAACTACCTTTGCAGCACCGAGGATTTTCAAAAGCTTCTTCAGTTTATTTTTAGGAACAGAAAGTAGGCAACCACAATTGACAGGATGAGTCAATAAATACTCAATGTAATCAATTGCTAAGTCTGGCTTTGATTCCTGTGTTATATGGATACGTACACGACGCCCAGATGTTTTAGTATTCTGAATAGGAAGAAAGCACAAAACCAGTACAACTCTGTTAGTATCCGACTTTAGAACTGATTACAAAGCAGAAGAATACAGCATTTGAAAGTCTTATTCTATTTTAAAAAAGCATGGTGCCTTAAATCAGTCTGGCAATTCCTATACTCCCTGCATATGCACACCTTTGTAGGGGTGAGTGAGTCAGACAGCCAATCACAGGCTAATTCCATAATGTGCCCCACTTGACCCCAGCGGCACAGGCAGTCGATCAGGATAGAATACTTGTTTTGGTCAGCTCCACTGTCAATATTTCTGAGTCTGGAAACCACACCACAGCTTAAAAGAAAACAGACAGACAAAGAGACACATTACCTTCACACCCATAAGTGCAGAAAACAATTAGTGTAGTACAAAAAAAGGATTCACCAACAAGACAGACTTGAACATCACAAATTTTACTGACTTATCACAGTTTTAGTGTCTTAATTTACCCAAATGGGCATTTAATATATCAGATTGCAAAAAAATGAATGAATACAGCCAGTAAGAAACTTCTTGTCACTTGTATTTTGGATTTCCAAACAGTACCTGAATGTAGGAATAGCAGCAGGGGGCATAAAGGATGCCAGAATAATCAGTGGAGCCATGCACCGCTCATCCTAGGATAAAAGAATTACACTGTATGACACAAAGGTACACATGCAAGCAAAACTAAAGACTGTACTGAAAAACTGTGATTACATTTCCTCAAATTAAGGATTTCCCTTTTCCACTACAAACGGAGCTGAAAAGACCTCAAAACAATATGGCTTGCAATCTGAAATGTCTGTTTCCTGTTTTTGGAGGTCAATTACCAATTATCATATCCTTCACTTTCTGCCAAGCTGCCAGCATTGACTACTATGATAGTCATGACTCCATTAGGTTAATACTCATTGCAAAAGAAATAGCAGCTCCACATCACTTTTTTTTTTCCACTAGAGACTAAGGTTTAATTGCACAACCATGACACCATCTAACTCCTCTCAGCCTTAAGTGCCTTAAATTCATTCACAAGACTAACTTATTAAAAACACTAAAGAAAAGGGTTGTTAAATAAGGATGGTAATGTTTAACATGTCATAATACATGGTCTAGGTCACAACATAATCTCACTCAGGTTATACACAAACCAATGTATGTTAAGAATGCTTCAAAAATGGCTTCTCTCTATGTCCAAGCTTCATGGAAACAGCCAGATGAAATTATCATCTACTTAGCCATTCCAAGATCTAAAACCTTTTTTTAAAGCTCATATTTTTAAAAGAATTTTTAAAATATATTTGTAGCTTTTTCAGGAAAGAGACAGGCAGCTTCAGTATGTTTGTAGCCTTTTAGGAACTAAGCCTCTGATGACAGGTCCTTTTAGATCCAAAATGCATACTCAGTATATAAGAATATCAAAGTCAAAGAGGTTTCTTGCTGAAGCTGGATATCTTGTCTGTTCACCAGACCCTTTCAGAAAGGATGCTACATCCTCTACCAAAAAAGATTTGGAATGTCTTTGACAACTTCCAAATGCTTTCAGGGTAGAATTTATGTATCTGTGCTGCAGAATAATATGTAGCAATGAGTTGCTTTTCACTCCCTGATTATCTAACACAAAGTTGCAGTGGAGCAGCCACCACATTTCAGGATACTTCAGCATAAAAGTCATCAACTAAGAGAAAGATATCCAGTATGTAATCCTTCCAAATTCATTGTGGGCACTCTCAGGATGGCATCCTCCTCAAGAATAACACTAAAACAACCAGAGCAAGGAGACTGACAATTTGAAAATGACTGATTTTAATTAACTGCCTATACTGAACCAAAGCAATAAATAAATGCATCGACAGATCATTAGAGAATAGATTTAAGTTAGCAGAAACCTCAGAATCGCAGAGTGGTTTGGGTTGCAAGGGATCTTAGAGATCATCTTGTTCCAACCACCCTGCCATGGGCAGGGACACCTTCCACTTAGCCAGGCTGTACCAAGCCCTATCCAACCTGGCCTTGAACACTGCCAGGGATGGGGCATCCACAGCTTCTCTAGACAACCTGTGCCAATGTCTCACTACCCTCACAAAAAAGAATTTCTTCTTATGTTTAAACTAAACCTACTTTCTTTTAGTTTGAATCCATTCCCCTTGTCATGTCATTACACTCCCCTGTAAAAAGTTCCTCTCTGTCTCTCTTGCAGGCTCCCTTCAGGCACTGGAAGGCTGCAATTAGGTCACCCCAAAGGCTTCTCTTTTCCAGGCTTAACAATCCCAATTCTTTAAGCCTTTCTATTTAGGAGAGGTGCTCCATCCCTCTCATCATCTTGGTGGCCACCCTTTGGACTCACTCCAGCAGGTCAGCAGGACATGTCTGGCTTTCTGGCCTGCAAGTGCATTCTGCCAGCGCATATTCAGTGAAAAAAGAGCTGCAGCTGCTTCAGTTGCAGCTGAATCACAAGAAGTGGTGCTGGTGGGAAGAGTCTGGGGGACAATGGGTAGGAAAACACGTGGACTTCAATGTACACTGAGTATTAATTTTTCAATGGCTCTTTTGTATTTACTGTTTTCCAAAAGTTCCAAAACATTCAAAAGAATAAAACCCTAGAAAAACCTTACAAGGAGAGCAATTTATTGCATAAGTATTTTTGAGCTATTTAGATAACCATTCTTCAGTCAGACACTGCAGCTGGAGAATAGTTTCTGCCCATTTGTGGGATCCCAAGAAAATTGCTGCTGTTTATAGTTTACAGCAACAATGAAAAAGAATACTTAATGCCATAAAAATAGATAAAAGACATAAAACATGAAAGCATCTGAAGAAAATACTGAGAAAATACAGGAAAATCTAGGCTTTCTTTACCTGAAATATTTTAAAATATTCAGGAAGTACAGAAGCAAACTTCCTGATAGCATAATCTTTGGCATCTTCATTGTGATCTAGTGCTTTGTGGATGCTTCTCCAGAGTATTACAGTGATCTCCAACAAACTTGCCATGCTGGCCACATCATTTACTGACAACACATTATCCAACACCTGAAATACAAACATTTAGATGATATTACCCATTATATTTTCAAATAGAAATTTAAATTAAATTCTAGTGTCTTTAAAGACACTAGAAAAAATCCTTCTAGACCCTTTAGAAAGACACTGTGGTTGCTATAGAACAGGAACTTCCACAATTCAGTCTTAATCTCTCTAACTTCACATATATTGCAATAGTAATTTTTAAAATAATTTAACTGCAAAACCAAACCAATTTATAATCAACACTGGAATTAGGCAACTATTAATTTAAAATATGCTTCATATTCCTTCTATCTTCTTCTAGCTACTTGACCAGATTTCTGCTACTGCAGGACATGAAAATCCAATAATGGCAGTTCTCCCCTTCCAATTCCAGAGATGCCCAAGGGCATTCCTTTAGACCTTCTGCCATATTCTGTCTCACATTAAGCACCACTGAAAAGAAGTTACCAGAAGTTAGAATAGAGTGGTTTTTCTTACACTGTTCTCCTTTTCATTTCCATCTTCATCATCACCCCCACTATCATGAAGATTATTTTTCATTGCTTTCTGGATGCAGGCATTCAAGCAGCGCCGAATAGTGAGCATCAATTTAGCTATATTTAAATAGAGTAAGAATAAATTAGACATTTACTATTTGCTAAGAATGTTGTTAATAAGTGCTTCTAATTACAATGGAAAGCCAGTATGAAAAAGTAGGCAACAGAACCAGAAACAGCTAGGAAAAAATGGAGAAAAATTCCTTGTAAAGGAAATGGAAAAAATGTGAACATGTTTTATATCCTCAAGTATGAAGAAGAAATGACAACATTATCGTCAGGGTCTGTAATTTTATTGTTAAAACAGTATACTAAAAAACCCACAAACAGCCACCACCTTATCAAATCGGAACCAGAGGAAGCTTCCACAACTCCTACATCTAATCTGGCATAGCTGTTAACCTAATGACCCACATTCAAGAACACATTCCCTCCAATGTCAATGTTCACTCCTATGTCGATTCCCATTCCCTCCTGTGTCAATTCCCATTCTTTGGAAAAGATGTAGCCCAACCATTGCACTCCTGAACGAGGAGCTCAGCTCTAGAAAAAGTGAAAGAGTTATGCCACTCTGGTGGAAGTACAAGGTGATTTCATAACTGTGATTTCATAGCCTTATCAAGATGATCAGTGAGAGGTAATGGTTTGGGCATTTCACCCAAGTCACTCCATGCTGATTACTTGAGTTTTAACAGAACTCCTCTGAAACAAAATTTTCCTGATTTTACTTGTTTCAATAGAACTTTTCTAAGCAGCAGTGACATGCTGGGCAGCACATGCCCTCTTCACTGAAAGTTTCAGCAGCTTTCTAAAGGAGGACTTTTTAGATTTCCCCTGAGCAACCTGAAAATACTGATCCACAAATCCCAGATACACAGATTATCAGGTGTAAACATTTTTTCAGTTTCTATATAATCTTTCACATGAAGATCTCAAATCACTTAAGGCATCAGGGTATTTGCTACGCTATTTCTACATGAGAAATAGGTATCAACTGAGAAAATTTTAAGGTACGTGTGGGGAGAAAAGGGACCCAGAAGGACCACGTATCACCATGGGCTGGAGTGTACAGTACAGCATCACAAGAACAGAGATGAAAAGCTTTGATCTCCTCGCTGTTGAAAAAGCTGATGACTTTGCCTGCTGTGCTCATTGCTGGTGTCAAGAATTTCCAAAAATACACACCAATAGTATACTAAACCCCACCCAAAAAACTAGCGACAATGTACCACTGTTACAGAAATAAGAAGATAAAAGCATTTACATAGCATGATATCAGTAATTCCAAAAGCTCACAAGGTTTTGTGCTTTACCTATATTGGTGGGGGCAGTGAATTCATAGGCATATTGATAGAACTTCCTGGCTGCTGCTGGATTCATCTGGATCAGAGTGACACAGCGCTCGCACCACACATCCTCAGGCTGGGCACTGGGGAAGAAGGAGTTCAGCAGGAGGTTCACGATGCGCCGCGACACCGGCCGAGAGTCAGCTTCGAGGCGAGACAGAAGATGCTCCATGGGACAGATATTCCAGAACTTTGTGAAATGAGAAAAAGATGTTCAAAGGAGTGAAACAAAAATAGAGGAAAAAACCCATCACCTTCATTAAGTGAATCAAATACAAAGAACGTCAACCCGGAAAACATGAGCATTTTTGATTTTTACACCAAAGTGTACTGGAGGTCAAATTCTGCTGCAATAATGTTATTCTGCCGTGCTGATGTTTTACATCTCCTGGTATCTCTGACTCACTGCTAATATTGTGGTTCAAGCAATTCCACTTCAATACACCTGCAATACTAATGCAATTCCATAGATATAGGGAAGAACTATTTACCCTGCAAGGATATCATCATAAAATACAATTATTGTCATTATGTGCCATGTTTCATATTCTCCTCACAGGACAAAGTAGGACCAAACTACCTACAAGAATTGAATACACCTTAAAAACCTGTATGTATCAACATCCTTTACAAAACCATCCCAAGCCTTACATTACTAAATAGTGACTGCATCCCATTCTTAGCAGAGCTCTACTTTATTCGTAACACAGAAATCAAATGCTATGAAATTCAGAAAGACTACACAGCTGTTTGCCAGCTGCAACACTACATTTGTAGTTTTTGTGAGAAGATTCTGAATTAATTATGCTGGACAATTACAAATTAAAACAAACAAACAAACAAAAAAATTTTCAATGCCAAGGAACTTCTTTTACTCTTGAGTAGAAATATTTGTATCAGATAATTACCCTGTGAATTCAAACTGTGGATGATCCTATTAAAAATGCCATAAAAAGTAAGTTTAAAGTGATCCCAGGACTTATCAGAGATACACATTACAGTTTTTAAATCAATAGGAGTTATTGAAAAACATCTACCACTCACTAGGATTTTTTTTCTTTATTTAAACCTGATCTTTCCTTCCCCTAAAAAATCCCTGACATTGAGAATTATCTTTTTTCTCTGTCTTTACTGGCAGCAAACTCAGAATAATTCACAAACAAAGTGACCTCAGCCATTCCTTGTATGGCTTCCCCTCTACACCCTTCACCATCTTCAGAGCCCTCCTCTGGATGCTTTCTCATAGTTTTATGTCTTTATTAGGCTTAGCAAGAGACAAAACCATTGTTAAATTAAAATATAAAATTGAAATTAAGAAACTATTAACATTAGAGAGTGGAATAAGAACTCACAGATGCTATTATGTCTGTGGTTGAACAGTACCACCATAAATAAGAGTCCACAGTAGAACACAAAATACATTAAAAATCAATATAAAAAGACACCAAAATCCAAATGGAAGGCCACAAAGTAGAAACAAACATTATAAAAACAGGAGAATCAAAGCAAAAAGACTACTGGGTTAAGGTGTTAGGCATTTAGAAGAGCTGGGCAGCTGAGGGAAGTGTGGCTGCAACCCACTGCTCTCCCCTGCCCATCCAGAGAGAACAAGGGCCCACAGAGCACTCGGGATACACAGACATTAAGAGTGCTACCAGAGCAAAGCAAGTTACTTCTTTCTAAGGAACACTGCAGCAGTCTTAAAATGTACTTTTTGTTTTTTAAATAAATGCCATTATTTTGTCTCCTTGCTACTTATCAAATGTCATTACCCTACCTTAGCAGCCTTGGTAGCCTTCACTTTGAGCAGCATTTCCACAAATGCCACTCGCACCTTCTCAGAACTGTCATGAAGACTGTGTTTGGTTGCAGGCAGGAGCTGTTCCAGGAGTGGGTGACTTAGTTTGTTGTCCAAAATTATTGGTAGGCACTAAAATAAACAAATCCAGAAAGAGTAGAGCTGAAAAATCTGTAGCTAAAAATTGCTGAAGGGGACTGTGATACTTCTCATGTTAAACAAAGCAGTGGCAGACACTATGCATGCTTATTTTTCTTGTCATATTTTCTTTGGTCAAAACTGCTTTGATTACTTCAAATTTAAAGTGAACTGTGTTCAGTGAACTCATTTCAGCTGAATCAGAATTTCAGAACTACACTAAGACCATGGTCTTGCCCTCTGCCTGAGGACATAGCAGCTCTCTAAAATACGCTGATTTCAAATTAGAAATAAATTTCTTTTTTCCAATTCATTTTTAAATCAGCACTTTCTGCTTATCCAGGATAACTCCCTCATGAAGTGGAGCAAGTGAGGATTAACAGGATGACAGCTTCAATTTAAGGCTGAACTGACACAGACAAAATCTTCAAGTGAAAACGTTGACTAGTGAGTTCATTTTTCTGTCCAAGCTACCAGTTATTTCGCACATGCCAGAAAGATGTATTTCTTTCTAACATAGTGACCAATGCATGGGAGGAGGCATCACCAGACAAACTGTGGAATTATATCCATCCAAACCTCAGAGAGACAAAGTGGGATACAAAATCCTAATTGTGCAGATCTTGGGATGCCTTAAAGTCAATAATGTAAGAAATTATGGCACTGCCTACATATATTTTCAAGTCTAAGCATAATTTCTAATAGCTAAAAAAAAATTAATTATTGGGTCCAAACAGTGTGTGTACAACTGGAATTGAAAAACCTTAAGAGTCAGAAAGCCAATCAATTATTATTTCAAAAGACATTTGTTTTCCAAATATGTGGCTTTTATGAAATGTGCAAAACCTCCATGTACTAGGAATTCTATTCCCTAAGACATTTTGAAGAACAAGTAATTCCCTTGATTTAAAGTGGCCTATACTAGAAACCTGTACATCAAGTAAAATAGAAAAATTACTATCATGATAAAAAAAACATTTACTTTAAAAACAGAACATCGAACATCAGCAGATGTTATATCACATGCCAGATCTCCAGTTATCTTTTTTAAAAGATCAGCAAGAATTGTTGGAGGAATCATCTCCCAGTATTTGGATATGATCTGAGTAACTCCAAGTACCCCTGTAGAGCGGACGACTGGATGAGGATCTTCTAAGAGACTCTAAAACAAACAGAAGAATAATACTGTGAGCATATGGGTTATTGTGACTCTACTGCTGTTTGATCTGGGCCTGTCATAAACAAAATGCATTTCATTACCTTTTAAACATTATGAAAACTGTCATACAATAAAAGAACTGTAATATTAATAGTCCCTCCAGGCATTTTACTATGAAGAAAACAAGGAAATTTAAATCAGAAGCAAAATTAAGGTAACTCTTGGCCAACTTTTTTCATTGGACTTTTGAAATTATTTTTTTTTTTAATAAATCAAGTCTAAAATTTGTGACTTAATTAAGAATATTTGTACTTTATTTATATGAGTCTACACTGATCACTGTTCCTATGGAACAACATAACAACTTTTAAATTCATTCAATTATCTGATATCTACTCAGGAATCCCCAAACATTTTCTTAATGAAAATACCCACTGCCCATGGGTATGAAAATGCCCATTCTCACCCATCTGGACTGGTAAGGGAATTTTTAGGTTCTCTCCATTATGCTTAATTTCAGAAGTATTTAGTAATACAGTACTGAACTTTGATTGAGTGATTCCATAGTAACTGTGAAGCTCTCCCCCACAATCCCAGGTTAAATAAGGATCAAGATCATTATTCATGCATTTAATCTTTCAAAGGCATCTCTCATTCACAGATTACTGAATAACAAACCAAAATTCTTCCTTTTTAGAGTTTAAAGTGGTGTATAGCATCTGCAGAAAACATACTACAGAAATTTAAAATATTAGTTTATTTTTGTATTTTCTGTGCCACAGACCTCTTTTTCCCCACAATTACCCAGAAATTCCATAAATTTAGTTGCATCAAAAAAAAAATATTTTTTACGTTAGTTCTGACAAAAGTTTCATTTTTAACATTTTAGTTTCATTAAAACTTACAAAAAGTTCTTCAAACTGTTTCTGAATTTCCCTGTCCATCTCTTCAGCAGTAAAACTGGGATCACGAACAGGAAAAGCATCAACAAACAAAAATGCTGCATTTGCTCGAACTTCTGAGTTTCTGGCCTGTTACAATGGAGGAAAAGAGATTTTTTCCATAAGGACCAACTGCTAACATCCAAAGTTGTATCCTGTCAAATACTATTCTCCAAACATTTAAACAAGTGTTTTTAATTAAGCAGATGGAAGAGATTAATTTACAAATGGATGGAAGAACTTAAAAGTCACATATGAGTTTTAATGTTTTATCTTACTTTTCCGCCCAGTCAGTAAAACCTGAGTTATTGTTACAATCAGCTTTCAACTCACATCAGCTGCAATGACCCTGAGGAATCACAGTCAGAGCCCTTCTGCTTTCTGTTATGCTGAATAAATTAAAAGCAGTTGAGATTTCTCTTGGTGGCCTTAAAGCTCCTCTTCAGGACAGAAGACTTGAATTCAATCAGACTGGATTAATTAACTTGCTTGTCAAGAGACAGGTGATTTAATTGAAAAGCTCAAGCCTGTTTCTTCAAGAAAATAGTATTTAGTAACTAAGTACCAGAAAGCTTGGAGCGTAACTTATCCAGCAAAAACATATTCAGTTCTACATCTCTGCACAAAAGTATTAGGATCATGTTCTGAGCTCCAGGCAGCTCATCAAAAATCCATGGAAAGCCTCACAACATTTTACCATATTTAACAAATTTCACTGTACTCCACCATGTATTTTACTGGTTGCAAAGCCACAAACACAAAAAAGGAAAAAGGGGCATATTTAGATACTTATTCAGTGAAAGATAATTGATCCTGTGGGCCCTTAAAGACAGAAAAAGAGAGCAGACAATGAAACCATGAAGAAATTCAAGGCATCTCAAGGAGAAAGCTGAAATCTAACTACCAAACTACAATTTGTCAAAGACAGCAGTGCAGTGATCAAGAGCCTCTACTGACTTCTCTTGGAAAGAAGACTTGGAAGGAAGAATTTTGTCCAGATTTTGTGTCCAGTAAAAAAAATAAAAGCTCTCAATATAACAAGCAAAGTAGGCCTAATTTTAACAGCAAGATGAGATAATTCAGGGAAATTCTTGACTATGCTAATCATCTAATCTTCTTCCCTTGTAATAAAGCACACTGAGATCAAAGCAGGGAAAAGAAACATGGCAACAACCATGTAATATCTAGACTTAAATAAACCAATGACAAATAAAACCAGAAAACACAACAGAAATGAGTAACAATTACTTAATTTACAATCTGTTTCAGGTTTCTCTTCTTGACCAATCCCGATATGGTGGAGTAGGACCATAACATGCCAACTTCTTCATGTCAACAAAATTACTAGGAATTTTAAATTGAATACTACAAAAGCAAATAAAGCACAGACATACATTCTTTAGTTAGGAGCTTGTGTTTTCCTTTACATACTATGGATAATGCAAAGACTTTAAAGGTGAAAAGATTGTAATTCTTAATTCTATCCTATAAAGTTATAGAAATTCCTTTAACTCTGAGCTTGTCTATATTTAAGAATTAACACATAACAAGATAATATGTGAATTCAGCGTGAAATAGCTCTTCTGCACTAACATTGCATGTGAAAATTAATTCAAATGTGGTTTTGTGCAATAACCTAGACCTTGTCTACCATAGCCATTCCAGAAAGTTAATTTCCATAAACTTTTTAAGTGCATTACACTGAATTCCATTAAGCTCACTTTTAATTCTGAACTGAGTACCCACAGTTCAAATTCCTGCCTTTAATTAACTGGAATTTATCCCAAATGTATTTGCATATTCAGGCTCGTACAATGTCTTCACAGAGGTAGAATCCAAGACTTTAAATTCATGGCCAGTTTTAATCCACACTGACTTTTCCATGCCAGAGACTGCAGTAATTTAAATGACTAATATTTCTTTACCATTATACTTGTACAATTCTGAGGAACTTTCAGAACCTTTTAAAACAATATTTTACGTTTTTCTTCAGTTAATTTTCACAACTTTCTTTTAAATTTTAGCTGGTCTTGCAGGTTTTGAAATTAACTTCAAATTATTTAAAACACTGCTTCCCCAGGACATGTTAGTTTAAATGTGTGGGATGTTAAAAAAATATTAGAAAAGACAACCAAACACTTTAAAAGAGTCACTTCCTTCAACAGCTTGAATTCCTGGAAGAGTGGTTCTTGACTTTTTCAGCTTGATAAGAAATAGCTTAATCACTACTTACACTAAATAATCATATTTTTATATCTATATATCTTCTCATACTAACAAGCAATCACTGCACATCTCTTTTATGTTTGTATGACACTTGCTTTTCATAATAAGAAAATGAAAAAAAAGATGAAATTACATATGGCCTTATATTACAAAAACTTAAGAGTTGCATAAAGGCTTATAAAAGATGTACAGGTAAAAGCCCCAACAGAAGCTTGTGCAATCTAATTATTTGCAAAGCAATTAAAGAAAAACAGAGAACTGCATTACAAAATGAGCATTCTCAGTTTCAAGATTTCAGAGATGAAATCAAGTAGTTTCAGCATCAACAGTTCTGGAACTCACTGTATTCTTACAACAGAAGTATTTTTGCCCTCTGTAAGAAGGAGGAATAAACAGACCTTGTGCGTCCTTTCTGTTTCATAAACAATGTTCTAGAACAGAATTTGTTCTTCACTATATTAAATTAGGGATTTAGCTAAAATAAGAGTGTCAAACTAGTTATCTAAAATTAATCTGACATTTCAAGCTTTGGAGGAGAATCCATAACAGTTATAAGAACTGTTAAAAGCTTCCCTTCTTAGTTCTGTATTTTAAATTACTGGTGATTCTGAATCACAACAACAGTTCAAAACACCAAACACTTCATGCAGTACTATATGATTTGTTCTAGCCATGGAACCATTAGTGATGTGAAAATTATGAATAGCAGCTGTTAAAAATTTCAGCTGCTTGTGGAATCTGGAATTCTCCTATTGTCTTGCTGCAAATCAATCAGTAACCTTTTTTTTCTAGATCACACACCTTCTGTTACATTTCTCCAAATAAATGTATGCAGATTTCATAAGGTTTGACAGAATCTTCCTCCAAAAAGTAGTCTAGTCTCACATTGGAGTCCTGGGCTTTGGCAAGTGACTGTGACCCTCCACTGACAGGCAGCAACCCTCTTAAAAATGGAGCACTGTATTTTGTTAACTTAGCAAAAATCAGTTAAAACACCTATTCTTTTAGAGACAGAAATGTAGAAATTAAAGGAAGTCATGCTTTGTAGCTATCATTCTCTGGCATTAGGACATAAATGTTTCATCCAGAGTGCTCCTTGTTTATACAAATTCTAAAAGGATGGGATCCAACATTTAATGTAAGACCAAACAAGATACTGGGCTAGCAATGACTTTTCATATTCCCACCTCTACCACATGCTTCTGTTGAAACCAAACAGCTCTCAACTCCTTCCATTAACTCATAAAATCCATTGTAAACAATTTTTGAAGTTAATAGTGAATACTTTCAACACTGAGAATTTCAAATACCTTTCTCAGTCTAGAGAAGATGCTTATGACCAACCAGACACAAATGAAATTTATGTAAATGTTTGCCAGAAATTAACGTGGCTGTATGTGTATGCTCCCACAACAGGGATTTCATCACTTCAGACAAAATAAAAGCTGTCACCAAAGAAGGAAGCTTGGCTCCTCTTGATCACAGAATGTAAGTGAGTAGATAAACTGCAGTGGGTCCCCTTTAGTCCATGCATGCAATCCACAGAAGGACATGCACACACCCTGAAAGAACTACAAGTAAGAAATTTCATTCTGAGTGCACATCCATACCATTAATGTCTGTCCATACAATCCAACTAGAATAAAAGTTTCCTAAATTAATACTCCAATACATTCATTGAGCTGTATTCTAAGGCTGGTAATTAATCAACAGGTGAGACTAAACCATCCTCTGAACACTTCTGGCTCTGATCAATAAAACACTGATAAATCCCTAAAGATCTTGGAAAAGATAATACAAGATTACACAGAGTTTCTTCTTCAGATTGAGTTAAGAATACCAACTGCAATCCTGGAAAGCAATCTAGGTACCTGTAAACAAAAGTGAATTTTACAAGTAAATTATATTAACAAATTAGAATATTATTGTGCATGCTATGCCTAATTGCAACTTTAAAAGTTATGCAGCTACATCTGTGATGCCAAACACTCATTTTGGTTTTTGTGGCCATTCATTTTAAAAGCAAATAATAAAAACATAAGATGTGGAAGGGGCCCAAAATTTAATAGCTGGAGAAAGACATTTGTATTTTCTGAAAAGGATAATTACCTTGAGTGCTCTCCAGAGGATGGGCTGATACAATCTATAGAGCATTTCTTCAACTCCTTGACGGACTTTACTTTGTTTATGAAAATAACTCAGAATCTAAGAAAAAACAAATAAACAGGCCCCAAAGCTATTTTAACATTCTACATTCAGGAAGTGGTAAGGTGTTGTTGCATTTCATAATTATGTAAGACCAGAGTTTTCATACTATGAAAATTATAAAACTAAACATGTTAATTGACACTATATCTTATTAGGGAAGTCTCAAAAATAGTAAAATTAAAAGTCTAATAAATATAATATTTTATAACTTTATAGAGTCATTAAGTTTATATAAAGATGTACAACTAGGAAAAAAAACATGGCTAGAGAATTTCACAGCAACACCTCATTTTTGTTACTATAAAAAATTATTTTTAAAGTTGCTGGCAGAAATACTTTGAAACCATGAAATTATGAACTACAGATAAATAAGCTTTTTCTCTGTTAAGAACAAAGGAACTTTTGGTAAGTGGGGTTACCCACATACACATGTACAAACCTAATAAATTTTTTATGCCCTGATGAAAAGCAAGTATCAGCACTCTTTGGGACTCAAAACTGTGTTTAATTAGTTAAAAATACTGTTATTTTCCGTATCTGAATTATGCAGAAAAGAAAAAGAAAGTGGAAGACCAGAGCAGAATATGAGAAAGGACATAATGTAACTTGATACGAAGAATTCCTCCACTTTGAAACACTGAGCAGTTTGAGCTGTGTGCAAGGTTGGTAATTAATCAGAAAGTGAGATGAGATCATCCTCTGAACATTTCCGGCCTTGATCAATACAGCACTGATAATTCCCTGAAGATCTTGGAAAACAGAATACAAGATTACACAAAATTTGAAAAGAAGCTGACCCTCTAGTGGTCAGTTCAAATTTATTCCAAGACCTACTCCTCTTGCAGCCCAAAGACATATTTATTCACTGTCCTCTTTCAAGGTCATAAGCCCCAAAGTCTGAAAAGCATGAAATGCCCTGTCAAAAGCCTGTTCAATCGATCAGGAATCACAGGACAAGGAAATCCTATAGCTATGAGAAAACAAAACAAACACCCTAAAAAACCAACCCCAAAAAATCCAAACCAAAACAAACAAAAAAGCCACTCTAGTATTGTACACTGGTATGTCAAGCTGTATATTGCACACAGTATGCACTCTAGAGTCTGGGTATTTGGGAGGAAGCATGGGAGGGGAAGGGGCATTTATCAAATACAAATGTCTTAAAAAGCCTTGTGCACTTCTCATTCTGCTTCAAATGCTCTGCTCATGACTGAACGCCACAGACAGACAACTAGAATCAAAGCTTGTCCCTATGAACCTAAATAAATCCCCTACATACAGTAAAAAGAAAAAAGCCAAGTCTCATTTCAGACCCATGTACTAAGTTTGCCTCAAGAAGGTTATGACTGTTTGTCCTTGTGATCATCGATGGAAAAGTCAATTCTACAGGTAAAGAAAGCTTAGACAACAGACAGCAAAAACTATTTCTGGCACTCTGGAAAATCCCCTTCTACTTTTAAGCAGCAAAGACAAATCTGCTGCAAAACTATAAGCAGGTTCCTCCTAAAATTTGTTTTAACATTATTTCTCAGAGTATGCTATTTTTTAAAGTATTTGTGGCAGGTTGGCCCTAGTCACCAGCTAAGCACCCACAGCCATGCACATACTCCGTGCTCAGTGGGGAAGAAAAAGAATTGGAAGAGAAAAGTAAGTTCATGGGTCAAGATAAGGACAGTTTAATAAATAAAGCAAAGAGGACCCAAAAATCCCCAAAGGAGTGATGCAAATGCAACCACTCACCACCCGCCACAAGCAGGCCAATACTCAGCCAGCCTCCCAGCAATGGCTGCCTCCCTAAAACCCACTTTCCCCCAGTTTGCTGAGGGAATGATGATTATATGGCATGCAATATCCTTCTGGTCAATTTGGGTCAGCTGTCTCAGCTGTGACCTCCTAACTTCTTGCTCATGCCCAGCCAACTCCCAAGGGAAAATGTGGGGAGGAGAAAGCCTTGAGACCACACAGGCACCGCTCAGCAGCAGCCAGACCATTGCTGTGCCACCAGCACACCCCAAACACAGCCCCACACAGGCTGCTATGAAGGAAAGTATTTCCATTCCAGCCACACCTGGTATGGTATTTTAGTATGAAATGGAAATTTTCCACTTTATAGCAACTGATCTCATTTTGATGCTACCAGTTCATGCTACTAGTTGTGCTTTCCTGGAACTTACCTCTCTAACTTTAGAATGAACAGAAGAACTTCTGGGAAGATGAATTCCATGATGCATGAAATCCTGAATGCAGTTATATTCAAGTACCTACAGTAAAACACACACATGCTCCTGTTAACACAATAAAACAATAATAAGTACTGTAGCTATTCAGCAACTATATTTTTCCCTAAAACATGCAACTGAAAATAGTACCTGCTATTATTTCTTACTTGGCTTCTGCTTTGCCCAAATTTTTCCATGCTGGGGGCCTCAGTCTGCCTCAACCGATTTTCAAAATTTCAGAATCTACAATTAAGCCAATTGTCAGAAGCCAAAACTCCTTGACAATGCTGAAGAAGCCCTTTCCTTAGGGAAATAATTCTTTAAGGCTTGTTAAAGGAACCTCTCTGTAGTGGAAAGTCATGAGTCTTTCCCACCTTGAAATTCAAAACTATCCAAATGAAATTTCAAACATAGTGTTACCTCTATGAATTCTCCTGACACTTTCTTCCAGGCCCTGAAGTAAACTTCTGAAATGTATTCCACCAAGGATCTGTATTAACATATAGGAAACACTGTCAAGAAAGCACACTAACCATACCTCTGTACAATTCATAAAGGTGAAACATGAAGTTTTGTATAAGAACCAATATTGTTCTTAATTCTGTGCATCAAATTGGTTTTTAGAACAAATTCTCTTTTTCAAGTCTACACCCATAACTACCGAGTTAACTCTTAATGAACACAAGCACTATTACATGATACTTGAAATACCTCCCACGTGGGAGAGCCAAAACATTCAGAGAGATACTTTACCAGTTATGTCATGGAAAATGCCTGACATTCTTTATAGACATGTATAGGAATATATTATTCTACATGAAAGCATTAGAAAGCCTCTGATTTTAATATACAGAATTACTTCAGCAATATTTCACTGAATAATCAAAGAAAAAAAATCTCCATATTTTTCATCCATCAGCCAAGTTCTCAGGCCATAATTTATCCTACAAGTCACTTCTTATTAGAATGCCTTATATAGAAATCTAGAAAATTAAATTAGAGATTGCTTGTAGGAAAAAACAGGAACACCCTACAAAAGGAGAAATGGACCTGCAACCCTCACAGCACTGCAAATAATGCAGTCCAATTTCTATCCAAAGTCATTTGCTTTAGCTAATGGCAAATAAACGTTTACTGCTCCTATAACTGTACACTCAGGCACATCAGAGCGACTATTAAATGAAGTTGCTGAAACAATAAAGCAGTAATATTCAGAAGATTTGTAGGTTTCTGGATATTGATATATTTTTTCAATACACTAGGTATTTTTAGAGTGAGATAAACAAGATTTTAGACAAGCTCTTACTAATTAAGTACTCTAACTGGGATGCATACCTTGGAAAGAACTGTAATTGGTTTTTAACAGTTCCATGTATCATTTTAATGAAGTTTACATTCCAGCTGAACAAAAAACTCAAGAGTCTTCTTCCCTGTGGGGAGGGGAAAAGAGGAAAAAACAAAGGGAACTCAAAGGTAAGAAGAATACGCAATTTAAGAGCTACCTCAAAAATCAGCAAATACAAAGGAAATTGCATCTTTAATTTTAAAATGCATAGGTGAAATGGAAAAAGCTATTTAAGATTTTTAATTATTAAACAGAATTCAAGCACTACTTTTATTCATACTGTAGAAAAAACAGAACAAATGAACACGTGGATCACATATCTGCCTCCACTCTTTCAATGTCCTTTCTGTAATGGTGTGCCTTCAAGCAGCATCCCAGAATGCCAGCAGCCTGTGATCAGCACCCTCATCGAGGCCAGAGCACCGAGCTCTGCCAAGTGCAATATCATCCCAGGATGACACTGGTATCATGGTGAAGGCATAAACAAAACACCACAACTCTACCAGCACTGGATGCAGAAACATTTTTAACAAAGCCACAGAGAACAGCTGGCCACTGAGGAAATTAAATGTTCTGATCAGCAAGGACAATTCCTTTCCTCCTGCCACATGAAAGGTAATGTTGTGAACCTTCTGGAGCTGCTTTCATTCACGAAAACAGAAACTGTTTTTCCCAAATGAGTTTTCTTCCATTTTAACAAGTTAGGAACCGTGATGACAAATTTGATGAGCAATAGAATTTTGTAGCAAAAGGCAGTGGAAGGCTGTGGATGAAGGAAATAAGCCAGTGCTCTTCCAGAATCAGCAAAATCTGTCCAAGGAATTGGAGACTTATACAGTATCTGTACAGGCAGCTTCACTCTGACTTAGCTTACAGGTGAAGGTAAGACTTCAAAATGTCTGATCATACATAAGGGTGAGTCAGCCAGTTGTAAGGGTCCTTATCTCACAGCTTTCTAGCCAAAAATAAATTAGGTATATTAATATAAAGGAAGTGCAGTAGTAAAGAGCACATTGAGAGAAGGGCTGAATAAACAGCAGAGGTTCAGAGGCACTTCCATTGAGAGCTGGACCAAGAGTTGTGTTCACACCTAAGACCAAACAGAGAAAATAAAATACCAGACACACTTGGAGTTGGAACCTCACAGAGTAGGGGAGGGAGATGGAAGCACAGTCAGAAACTGCACTGTAGTGCAATTGATAGCTGAAATGCCTTTGGGTGAAGAAGTAACTCAGAATCTCATAAAAATCATGACCCAATGGCTAAATACAAGATTCTTGGCTCCAGGTCTGATGGAATCCTTCCTGTTGTCAACAAGTGTTGTCTCTATCTCCAACTTTGGTGGCCTAATATAAACATAGAGGAGTCCCACTTGGCATGTCACACATCAACATCCCTAACAAAACAAAAGGTCAGGGGAGTTTTGACCTGCAGTTCTTTCCTCAAGAAGGCAAACTCAAACTCATCTCATCTTCTACAACCCCAGCAAGACAGATGATAAAAAGTCAAAAAATTGCTTTCAACCAATTCTTTTTAGCCTTAGGTTTTAAAAGATTGAGCCTGCTCCTGAAAATGATGACAACTGCCTCTAGCTTAATCTACTGCTTGTGATTAATGGATCTGAAATAATTACTGGTAACAACATTCTCATTACCGTGAGAGATAACCTGGTGATAGGTGAATGAGACTGTGAACTTGTCATTTTTGGGACTAATGCAGTATCAGGGTCAGGTGTCTGGCACTGCTGTGCTTGTGGACACAGAGCACATGACTTTGTTCTATACACACAGAGAAGGTGAGCAAGGAAAGAGCACAACAGACCCACCTCTAAAACACAGTAACATGCTCTGCAGCTGTTTGACTGCAAATCCCATCTGAACAAGAATGTTTTCATAAATCACAGAGAGATAAATTCAGAGGATCACTCCACTAATGCAGCCTGATGATAAGCCTCTGAGAAATATTACTGTGTGTTGAACAGCACAGCCTGGGAAGGCAGAAACACTGAACTCCCTGATCTTACAATGAGGTGTAATAAACGTGCAGTTCTCTATTGGTTTAATATTGATTTAGAACAGATATACCGCATTCCTGACCCTTCCTTTCCTTCAGTCTTGCATATGATGAACCATTCCAGACAGTTAATCTGTCTGAAAAATAATTTTACTGGGAGAAAACAGCTACCTCCTTCAATCAACACATGATATTGCTGCTTGAACATTAGACAGTGAAAAGGAAAAGAGGAATGCTAGTCCGTGGCAACACAGGATCATTGCAACCTAGAGTTAGAGCAGCTTAAGCTACTATAGTACTGAGCTCTGGGATATGTACTCTAAAAAAACTAGGATTACTTTTCTTAGGAACTGTAGAAAAAGTCTGCAGGCATTAAAGGGAGTATTAGGCCTGGTATACAGAAATTCACTTTCAACTCAAAGCAATTCATACATCATGTTGATACCTGGTATTACTACAAGCATTTTAGAAGCAATACAGGATGCAAAAAAAGTCCAGCAGACATACTGGGGGAGTGTTGGTTGGTTTCTTGTTGCTACAAGAAATCTAACATTAGTGAAATGAACCAGAAAGGGAAATTAGAGAACATATATAAGGTGTGTTACCACTACAAATGAACTCCCACAGCACACAAATCCAAAACAAAAGGACTTGCAACTGAAGTACAATGGCCTCATAGCAACAGGAAAATGTTTTGAAAACTCTGAATCTCCTGTCTGCAGAGCTAGGAAAATCCAAGTCAGTTACCATTCTGGATAAGTGATGGAAGTTCATACAGTTAAGTTGGATTTCTGCTTACAAACTGAGACATGAATTTGGATGTCTAAGTCCCTGAATTGTTATTTGTCTGAAGAGTGATTCGTGTGATCAGCTGTTTAGTTACTGTTTTATGGAGCTAAACTGTTCTGTTGACTCTTCTGACTAGGGTTAATATGGCACACCCTAAACACAGAGCAATTTTACATGCCCAGATGGTTTTCCAGAAGGCAGAGATCTATGACAGTGTTTTACGTGCCAGCCCCACATGGATGTCTGAGGCAACTTAGGTCATTTACTGTAGCATGGGTCATTCACTTAAGCAATCAAATCCTTCCCAGGACCTGCACTGATTATGCTCCTGCACAGATGTCTAAATTTATTTCAGACACTTAATTTAACTGAACCCTGTCCTGGGATCTGTCCAGCATGGGTTAGCTTTTATTTTGAGCTGTTATCTACCAGGATGTAAAGAGACCTGTGTGTAGGGCTGGCATGGCAAGGTTTTGGTGGTGGAGGCCTGCAGAGGTGGTTTCTGTGAGAAGCTGCCAGAAGCTTTCCCCGAGCCCACAGAGCCAATGCCAGTGGGCTCCAAGGCAGACCCATCACTGGCCAAGGCTGAGCCCTTTGGCTACAGCTGGGAGCTGCTGCTGTCATCAATGCTTCCAGTCAGAAAGCAAAGAATCCAGAACTGAGGATCTGAACCACTAATGATCAGACAGAGCAGAGAGTGCAGTAAGGTGCTCTCTATATCTACCCAGAAAGAGATAGGCCTATGAAAATGCAAACTTGACAAAATGTCAAGAAACAGAAATCCCTGGGAGAGTGAAGAGAAAAATCTTGTGCAGGAAAGTGAAATGTGCAAAGCGTGGCCAAATCTGCATTCTCACGGAGCAAAGTGGATGAGTTTTAATATGCCAAGAAAAATATTCATTGCTGAGTCTGATTACCACTGCTTTTTTTCCCCCATATTTAAAAAAAAAAACAAACCCATAACAAAACCACAACTTTTATACTTTTTCACTCAAAGATTCAAGGTGCAAACTCCTTTAGAAAAGCTGTGTAGTAATTAACACATTATACGAAAAGTCTCACATGATGTGGAATTAAAAAAGAACTACAAGAATTTGCTTCTGAAGCCTAGATAGCAGTCATATTTTACATATATAATTACCAATTATTTACTGTGCCTTTATGAAGATGAAATATTAAAGTAATACAGTGGATTCAAACATAACAGAAGAAAAAAAACCATACAGAATCAAATATAGTTAATGCATTTGAAGTACTGTGACAAAGAACACACACAAGTACACACTTATTCCAGACGACAAAAAATGGCTTCAAATTAAATATACCAAAGACACAAAATTGGTTGTAAACTCTGTCAATAAAACCTTACTTGTCTTTCCTCTTTCCACCCACATTTTCTCTTCTTCCATTCCCACCTCTCATATTGCCTTGGTACATAATAATTTTACTCAAAACTAAAACAGCTTAAAATATCATATACAAGTAACAAAAACCCCACTAACTTCGTGGCAGATATCCAAACCCTGCTCTACCAAACATTTCACCTAAGTCCTTGGCTACCTCCATTTTTAAAATGGCATATCCTTAAATTGCCACAATCATGCAGCAATCTCAGGGCTCATTTTATGAAAGAAGTTCATATATTCCACAGGGGAATAGAGTTAGAACTTCAGAGACAAAGTCTGGTGGTCTGGTCACCCAACGAGAAAACAGGCTTGGACACCACAATTCTGGTGCATTGGCACAATCCAAAACCAACAAAACAGCAACTGTTCACTGAGAGAAATCTATGTAGTTAAATGAAGTAATTCTCGTTTTTCTGTGAAGTTGGGTTCTTTTAATGCTACTTTTAAAACAAAATATGGCAACACAATTTTGTAGATGAAGTAATTTAGAAGAAAAATTATTTTGCTACAGTTACTTGTCTTGAATAAAAGAAGAACAGCTAAAAAAGGAAAAAAAAAGAATTACACCAGGGAATGTTTTTAAGTATCAAGGGAAATGTACTTGAAGCAAAGCACTTGATTCTTATTGCCTCAGGATAAAAGAACTGGACTGAAGATTTAGACATAAACTTTCACACTTTAGTCTGGAATAGAAACAAGTTTTCCAAATGAAACAGTATCAACCATTTATAACTTGGAGTCAGAGCTGATTTGTCTCATGTTGCTATCTACTGTACCATAAAAAAAGACAAACTGCAAAACTATTAAAAGCAACCAAAGCTCACTGGCACAAAACCACAGTAGGATAAAAGTTGGCTTACCTCTTCTTTCTTAATGTGTTTTACACTCATAAAACACTGAAGCAACAAGTCTTTGACTTCATTACTCTCATCTGAATCATAATCAAAACAAAGTAAAGTCTGATGTAGATTCCATACACGAACTACATCTGCACCCTGACAGGAAAGAAGAAGCCCACATTAGAGTGGAGTAGCTTTGCTTTAATGCAAAAAACTTTGATTTAATGCAAAGCTGCATTGAGAGGATTTTAAATAAAGAACTTGAAATGCATTGTTACAGATTGTGAAAATATGAATATTCATTTCATCACATTACTGGAAAAAAAATATATGTGACTGCAGAAATTCTGACTTCCAACAAATGAAGATATGCTTAAGTACAGAAAAAAAAGTTGCCATTCCATGCAAAGTAGGTTAAAACCACATCCTTGCACTTTTTAAACTTCATACAATACATGCAGTTAACAGGGAAAAACAGGAGAAAGACATAAGGATACATCCATTGGGTTAGTGCAAAAGATGTGTATCACAATACTCCAAGTAACTCACACATTTTGAAAAATGAAAGAAAAAAGCAAGATAAAAAGATAAAAAGCAAGAGAAAATGAAGCTTCCTACAGAAGTCATTTCCATGCTTATCTGAACACAGTACTTAAAAATCTGAGTTAACAGAAAGTTAATTGCAATAAAAACCTTGGTCATTGGACTGGACAAAAGGGTGAAAAGATGAAAAGGAATGCAAAAAAAAAAAATCCAGTTTACTTGTGAAACTGATGCCAAAAACCTTTAAAATTTGCTCTAGAGAAGGCAGTTTATTGGAGGGATTATCTTTCTTGAAATATTCAGTAATAACCTGAAAGCCTACCGTAGCAGCTTTATTCAGGCTTTTTCTCAGTAGAATGGCAAACAGAGTCTTCCCCAGCTGCTCCTTCCCATCCAGCCCCTTCTCCCACCACATTTCACACACATGCTGGATAGCATCCTGTAGGATTTTTTCAGACGCAAGTAATGCAGGAAGAATACCTACAAGAGTAATGAAATAATTATTTACTGCAATGAACCAAGTCATTCCTGTAAAACAGCAGTCTGTTAGCACAGTAACTACACCTCACGGTGTCAGCTAGCTCCTGTCACATTTATACACTTTCATGGCTTATGCTCACTGCAGTATTTAGGCAACTCTAAGGTTTGGCCAAAATTTTTGGATGAGTAACAATGGAATATTGAGTTTCTCTTAAAAGTAATAAAAATCACCGAATAATCAAAGTTACCTTCCACTGGATGAACAGCTGGGAGAAAGAAAACTATTTACATTCCAACTTCTAAATTGTGCAGCTGATTTTTAAGTAAACATTCCCCTAATTTTGTCTCATAAATATGAACTCAAACCAGTACCAACTTTTCTCCTGTGAATTCTGTTTCACAGGCCAGCTGGATTTCAGTCAGATCAAACAGCCTCTGTAAAATGCTGCATTCTGTAGAGAGAAGCACTCACCATTTAGTATAAAAGCGCATTCTGCAAGAGCTTTGTAGTTTACATTTTCATCCACTGCAGGTATGGAAGCAATAACGACAGCTGCCACTCCTTGGATCACTGCTACAGTTTGTTTCTAAAAGAAAGCAATGCTGAGGAAACACTTTTGCAGTTTGTTTTGGACTCAGAAAATAATTCAAACAAGAAATGAACCTTAGCAACAGAGAGCAAAGCTGAATTGTTATTATGCTTCCATTCTGAAGAAGGAGTATACTGGCACCAAAAACCTTTCAAATAAGAGGCAAAAGAATAGATTTTTAAAGTACATATTTTCAAAAAAGTTTGAAAAGGGTTTTCAGCTCCAGTTAGTAGATAACTTTGTGACTGCACCTGTGCATCCATTCCTGCACTAAAATCCTCATCTGCAACAAACCCATTCAAACACACATCCATTTCAGAGCTGAAAAGCCCCTAACTAGCAGGGTCGTGTGTAACTCAGAGTTGTACATCTGGTGACTTTCACTCCAAGTGTGTGATTCTACAGGCCTCTGAACAGATGACTGATTTTTCTGCAAGCCTCTAGGTTTCCCTAATGATTTCCCCACTGCATTTCTTTTCTTCCCACCAAAATTAAATAGTCTTTTCCCCCAGTATTCTCGAGGCTACATAGACTACAGCACAGAAGGCAGTATATAAGGGTCTGAGTCAGAAAAATTCTATATATTCCAAATTTGTGGAAGGGGCAGTCAAATCTAGATGTTCATTAAAAAAATGACATTACAAATCAGGTAGTGAATTTCTTATACTATATGCCAGCTACTTAAACTTAACATCTGCAACATTAATATTTGTTTATTGAAATAAGACATAGAGAAAGCCCATTCAACTCTACTGAGAAAACTAAGTCACACCTTTCATAATTAAAATTATCAGCAGAGCTAGTCTTTTACAGCATAGACCAATCCTAAGTTCAGCTTAACTCGAGCATAAATTAAGTCATTTAAAAAAATGGGCAGGAAAGTGATATTTGGAACTGGTCTTATTTGATAACCCTTGCATGTTTTCAGATGTTATGGAAATATTCCATTTTATTTCCCAAAAAACACGAAACACTCATCACGTTTTCATTTTACAAGATTCTTACCATTTCTGGAACTAGCTCAACTTCCATGTCATCATCACTTTTATCATCTCCAGTCCTGTGCCATGTTTCCACAGGGTTCTCCATCAAGCTCTCTGTCAATAGCTGTGTCAGTCTCTGCCATAGCACTTCTTTTTGCTTTCTTGGCAATTCTTGAAGTAGTTCATTCAAGTCAAAATGATCAAATGTATTTTTCTATAAATCATCAGAAGATACCACACAATCTCACATCAGCAAAGTGGCTTATACTTCATCATCATATTTTCTACATTTAATCTGGGTTTTTACATTAATGATTAACTTATATTCCTCTGCAGTTATAGAGATGAAATACCTTCTATAAGTTTTTTTCTTTTTTAAATAGCATAAGAAATTCCTTCTAGTTAACTCTTTATCATGAAGCAAGAGTGCTGCTTTTAAGACAGAAGACTTTAGCCCTTGATAGCAATGAAGACAATTTCATACCCTTGACTAAGAAGCGCAAAACTGCACAGAATTTAAGTCCCTGATTATGTCTTTGCTCTCTTAAATATGGATTGATGATGGTTGTTTAAAGAAAATCCTTAGGCAAGGACTGGAACCGTAGCAGTCAGTAGAGCCATGGGGCCAGCACTGATTTGGGATACGATCTGCACACATCAGAGCTCTCCACACTGCACACATCAAACCCAGCTCCTGAGCCCGTTGACCCCACACCTCCTGCTGCAGCCCTGCTGACAGGGAAGCCACCATCAGTCTCCAGTAGAAACTGCACCACGAGGCTGATCTGAACTATTTCCTAGAAAGAACTTTGCTAGGAGAATTTACCTCAGGGACACAAGGAGTCTGTTAGCATCAAAGAATGGTAGGCAAACTGCTAGGAAAGGGAATATGCAGAGAGAAGATAAGAAGGAAGACCAGGCACAACCAAGAGAAAGAACAGATAATTTCTGAGATGTAATTTGCAATATGGAAGTGAAGGTTTACTGAATCAAAAATACTTCAGAGGAAAGAGAGAGAACGCCCGTAATCTTGAAATAAATCTATTTTTAGTTTGCAGATACACTGCAAGGCATCAAAAAGAGAAAGTCGAGGTAAAAACTGAAAAGAATGAAAGAAGCAGCACTAAGTATTAGAATGTTCTCAGAAGGGTATGAGAAGAAAGATCCTGATACATATTTATAAGAGAATTTCTATTCTATTCTAAAACTGAAAATAAATACAATAAACCAAAGGCCTCACAGGGAGTTCTGCAGCCCTGTGCTTCAAACAAACCCAAAAGACAGGATATTAAGATTGTAGCCTTTTGAACAGACAGAATGAACGCATAATAAGATCAGAGCTTTTAGATTTTTCTTTGGGATGATATGAGACAGAATTATTCCAAAATCTATGAGGAGAAAGGATGACAGTGAATGACAATCATATCTGTGATTCCTATTTTTCTAAGAAATTACGTATTTTCTTGACTTGGAATGGGATTTAGTGGAAAAAATTAATAGCACGTGCTGAAGATCTCAATGAACAGCACCACAATATGACATTTTTTAAATCTTACAAAAGAAAAAAATGAAAAGCCCATGAGAAACCTTGAAGGAAAATTAGCAAAGCCCTGGAATTTTAGAAGACATAGATGAATCTAAATATTGAGAGAGCAGAAGAGAAACATTCAAGGGATAAGTAAAAGGGGTGTCAGGGTGTGTGTAGAAAACAGACACTGAAAGAAGAAGCGATGCTAAAAACTGAACTTTGAAGAGAGTTTAAAAGGCAAATTCCAAGGCTAGAGCACCAGCTAAGCAGCAAATATAAAACAAAAACTAAGGAAAGTAGTGAAGCTTTAATGATGATTTATTTAACCACAGCCTCCTCCAGAAAAGCAATGAAGAATTTTTCAAGGGAGACCATAAAGGAGGATCCTCATACTAAGACAAGACAGGGTCACACATCCTCCATCGCTGCAGGTTTCAAAAGGAAATTAATAAAATAACCAGAGTATCTTGGACAGTCAAAAAGTCATGTGGATATTCATGTTTCCTTATGCTACAAAGGCATGAAGACAATTTCAATCAATACACTCATTGTAGCTGGTGACAAATTTTCCAGAGATATTGGCAACAACTGAACACTGTTGCAAGAGAACTCCTGTGAACTGGTGATGAAAAATAAAAGGATGAAAAAACCCAACCATTTTTAATCCAAATAGCCCATGGTTCATTAAAATAAATTACTGAATGCAGATGGCAGAATCAACACAACCAAATCAATTGAAAAAGGAAACACTGCAAGGGAATGCTAAAGTGAATAGTGAATAGTTTTTTGCTAAGTGTTTAGATTTAGGGAGAAATGGAAAGGAGACTTTAGGCAAAGGCAATCTGGCAATAAATTTATCATCCATAACTACATAGAGGCACACAAATGAAAGAAATAGCAAATTTCTTGGGGAAAGATTCAAGGACGTTTGGGAGATAAACCTTGTAAGCTTATACATAACAAGATTGTGGGATTAATATAGTTGCTACATGAAATAAGTTCATGCCTCTGTGCACATGGAGGTCAACTGATCCGCTTTATCCTGCCACAGGCACTACCAGGAAAATACCCATAGAAAGCTTCAGAAACAAACTTCACAATATCATTTATGGCAGCAAGCAAAAGATGTTTAGAAGAGCTCAGGTATATCTTAAGACCAGACAGATTGAAGCTGAGTGGAAAACACCTCAATGCAAATTATTATCTCATTATTATGCAATATGTACACAATGTGAAAATAGTAGATTTCAGGGGATTTGTTTTGTTGCTCCTCCCTGTTCTCTCCACATTTCATTTAGAAAGAGCAATCTACCCCTTCTCTAAGCATTCAGTGATAGAAAGAACAATTCAAGTAAAATTAACAATGGACCAAAGAACAAGTGGACAGCCCAAACTATCAAATGAATGAACAAATATTAGTGAAACACAATTCTGTTACGTTTGTACATTAACTCTTATTCATTATATACCAATAAACTATTTCATGGGTTGAAATTTAGTAATGTAATATTTCAGCAACATGAAATCAGTATTTGTTTAGAATTGCACAAACACTAATATTTTATTTTTAAAAAACAGTATGTGGAACAACCAAATATCAAAAAATTAGTTGGTTTATAAACATTCATATTTCAGATTCCACAACCTTTTCAGCCTATATTCCTTCAAGTGCCATTTTAACTTATTTCCTCCAGCAATCATTCCCACACATCTGCAAATACCAGACAAATAATTTCTGTCCCTTTGTCACGATTTCTGTAACAGACTCATGACTCCAGAAGTGATCTATGTATACACTGGCTCACTTACAGGATTCTGAGTGTAATGCAGGAAGTCTTCAATTGACTCTTTAGACACAACTTGCAAAAATGCTTCGCGTTTCATCCTGGAATTGGTCTTCCCTACTTTATAACCAAAACATAACATTAGAGAAGATACTGTATATCAAAACAAGATCATTTTGGTCTGCTGTAATAATGTATCAGCTATATACATAGCATTGATATCTATTTATGTACGTTATATATTACAGTAGTTATATATGTACTACATAGTTAAAGTAGTTTTCCCCTCCAACATATTTTAATTATCTGAATCAGGATTTAGATTCACAACATCACTAGGCTGCAGGGCTTGCTTTCTTTTTTGTTTGTTTTTTTTTTTTTTTGTTGTTTTTTTTTTTAGTAAATAAGTCTTAAAACAGAATAAATTGTTAATGGATACTTTGATTTTTAAAAAGCACAATGCATTCTCCAGCACACACCCACTATTTAACCTGGTCATCATTCCCAACAACAGTATTTATTGGTATCAGAAGCACTGAGGGGTAGTAAAATGGTCTCTTCTCGACCATCAAGTGAAAATCACGGGAAATGGGCAAGGCCACCAAGAGCCTTATTTCCTCACGCAACCACTCCCTCCATCCCAGGTATCTCCTGACGTGCTTTTCCAGGTGGGAAAGTGACTCACACAGCATTTAGTGTGTGTGAAGCCACATCACAGAACGGGGCTGGGGCCGCTCCTGGGCCCCGTCCCGAGCCACCCGGGAGCTCCGCCAGGCCGCGGTAGAGCAGGCAGCGGGAAGCCGGACGGGCCGCTTACCTCGGGCTCCCTCAGAGCGGCCGAACCCTCATGGACCCGCGGGACGGCTCCCAACGCCGCGGCGCCGCCCCAGCGGAGCGGAACGAAGCCGGCGGACACGCGCGTAGAAGAGCCCGCGGCGCACGGCAGCACCGCCGGAGGAGACACCGGCCCCGGGAGCAGCTCAGAGGGGACACCGGCGAACAGCCCGGGGCACCTGGGGACACTCCGGGACGGCCCCGCTCGCTGCCTCCCTCCCCCGCCACTTTTCGAATCCTCCCGCGGCCGACGTTGAGCGCGCGCCGCGGAACTCCCGTCTTGTCTCGCGAGAGCTCGGCGGCCGCCCCCGCCCTTTCCCGCGCGCGGCGCCGCTGAGGGCGGGGTAGGGGAAAGGCGGCCTTGGAAACCCCCTCGGGCCAGGGGATCGTATTCAAAACTCAGGGAAGCACAGGGTCAGCTGGGCTGGAAAAGGCTTCTGAGGTCATCGAGTCAAACCTGTGACCGAACATCACCCGGTCAACTAGACCGTGGCACTGAGTGCCACGCCCAGTCTTTCCTAGACCCCTTCAGGGAGGGCACCTCCACCACCTCCCTGCGCAGCCCATTCCAGTCGCCCTTTCTGTAAAGAAATTCCTCCTAATGTTCCACCTGAACCTCGTCTGGCGCAGCTTCGGGCTGTCCTGTTGTCGTGTTGCTGGCTGCTTGGGAGAAGAGCATGACCCTGACCTGGCTACACCCTCCCTTCGGGGAGCTGAGGAGAGCCACGAGGTCCCTCCTGAGCCTGCTCTTCAGGCCGACCCCGCCTCCGCAGCCGCTGCCGCCGGGTTTGGGCCGCAGCCCCTGCCCCGCTCCATGGCCGAGCGGCGGCTGTGCCCGCAGGCGCCTGCTCCCGGCAGCTTCGGCCGCGCTGCAAGGCTCCTTCCTCCGCTGCTTTCTAGCACAGGCTGGCTGGAGACACGGCTGGTCCCAGGGGAGCACCCATCAGTTACCCAGAGGCAGCTGCCATGGTTCAAACCCACCGCCCCGCTCGCTGTTCCCTTTCTGTGCCTACCTGCACAGTGTCAGTGCTTCCAAATGGGGATGAGACATAATCAGTTAAATTCATGTTCGTGCTTAAAAAATGGTATTCCTTCTTCCATGGCTCTCTGGTAACGTGGACATAATTGCTTGTACAAAACATCACACATCTGATGACACTGGTGGCTTTTTTCTCCAATAATGTTATTGTTGCTATTGCTGACAGGTATGCTTTTGCTCACAGTCCTGGTGAACAATACGAGTACTTTGCACTCTTCATCCAAAGCAATCAAGAGTTAAACAGCCTATATGCCAGAATGTATAGCAGACTATGTAAATCAGATGATATTTAGAGTTTGATAAGTAAGGATTTTTTTTTTTTAATGTATCAGGAAATTATATCTTCTGTTTCTTCTTTGCAATGTTTGGAAATAGAGTCAGATTTTGAATTCTATAATATTCTCCATTCCATTTGTTTGAGCTCTTCTGCAAACCAAAACCAGTCGAAATGTCTTGTTAAGGGCTTAGTTTGTATCTTTCCGTTTGGCATTTTCAGTAGCATTTCTCAGTGTTGGCTGTTAGAAGAGAGAGGTGCATAACTGAAGTAATTTATTTTCAATCTGTAGAAGCAGTACAGCATGTGCTGCTTTGCTGTGCAAACAAACAGAAAGCCAACTGTAATTTCTATAGAAGTTCTCACATCTGGTTAGACTTCACAGGATTGTAATTTTAAAAATATAATTCAGATTTTATTTAGTATTAAATGTAAAAATTCACTCCTTTAAAAGTAGCATTTACATCTTCTGCTATTTTAATTTTTAACATAGAATCTTCCTTAATGATCCTGCCTTTCACAGTTTTAGTTTACATTAAAAATTAAGATTTTTTTGCATTTTCTGCCACATTTATTTGATATGAGAAGCTGGCTTGTGTCAGATCCTGTGGACCTGACTTTATATCCCAAGTTACGTGTTCAGCTAAGTGCAAGGAGCCTGTGGAACAGTTTGCTTGGAGTAAGTTGCATAAGCAATCAGCATACTTGTAGAATTGTAAAAACAAATCAGCATACCTGTAGATTGTAAAAACAAAAAAAAAAGTGTAACACCTGACAATTCTACATTATGCTAATGTCTTCCTATATTAAAATTTGTCTGCATATATTAAAAATCTTTGCCATTTTCGATTCAAACTGATGGATTTATTCATCATGACTCATTTATACTGAATATTTCATTAATACCTTGATTAGTCTTTTAATTAGATGCTACATTAGTCACCTGGTTACTGTTTATTTAGTTGGGCACGTATCATTTTAGCAAACAAACTGAAACATATTTTAGTTTTTAATTTCTGTTGCATAGCAACCACAGAATGGTTTTTTTCATAGTATTGAAACTAGAAGTTGACACAGATAACAACAGGCTGAATAACACCAAGTGATTCATTTTAAAAGACCATACAGAGAAACCAGAGAGACAGAATAATGTTTTCTAGGTTTTTTTCAAGAACCGTGCATGAACTGCAAGCCAGTAATAAACCTACAACTCTATTTTCAGTTTCTCTAATATTCTCCCTTTCAAGGGTACCAAATTACATGCCTCTCTTTGACATATCTGTTCATCTGTTCAAAATAATCTATACCCTGTGATAATAATCTCATATTTATTATCATTTTCCTGTCAAGTTAAGGCAAAAATGAAAAATGGGCCTCTCATACGTGGTTGCTGAGCAACAGCAAATAAAGATTTGCTTTTGTGCTACTGCTTCATGAACCACTCTTCGTGTTGGTGGCCTGCATTAGAGATCTCAGGTGCAGATGGCTCACACCAGAATGTCGTTGTTTGGACTAGAGCAAGCCTTCCTTTTCACCCTATAAGAGTCAACAACATCAATAAAAAATAAACAAGTAGTTCCTTGAAAGTCAGAAGCTTTCTTGACAATATTCTCTTATATTTACAATGTTATTTGGTAGATAATAGTTTCTTATGAGATTATTTCACACGTTATCTACTACCATGTTGGAGTTGTAACTTCTATTTCGTTTTCTTTGAATATGTAATAAAATTTGTTATAGTTAATACAGTATGAACAAAATCTGCTCATCCTCTGAGGCAGGCTGTTAATAATTTACATGCATGCATTTCCCTTGATTTTTTTTTTTTTTTGATCTTCGCATACTTTGATAAATAATCCGAACAGCATGGGAGAGAGATGAAGTTTCACACTATTCCACTTCTCCAGATCTCCCCTTGCCTGAAGGTAATCCTGCCAATCATGCCATCCTTTATTCAGAGGCAACTGTCACTTCTCAATGCTGGTGTGATTAGACCGTGAAACGGCTTATTTCCCTTAAATTATTAATATTAACATGAATCAATTTTAGAGTTTAAGAGATTAACTAGAAAAAAAAAATCACTGCAGAAGAAAAAAAAAAATATCCTTGTTAACTCACACCAAAATAAGGAAATAAAATGCGCAGAGGGAATGCAAAAGCTGCTCGGGAGAGCCACTCCCTGGAGTCGCTGCCGAGGTACCGAAGTCCTGAACTGCCGCCCCGCGGGAGCTCCCCGCTACTGCCGGCAAGGGGCCACGCCCGGCTCAGTTCAAGCCGGGAAAACACAGCAACTTCATTTTCCTGGCTTTGTTATGATGCTTTATGACAAAATACTTCGGTATTACATCATGAAGAGGGCTGGAGCATGGAAGCAGGCTGAGAGAGCTGGGGGTGTTCAGCCCGGAGACCTCTGGAGAAACTTTAGAGCACCTTTCAGTGCCTGAAGGGTTTACAAGCAAGGAGAGGGAATTTTTATAAGAGCATGGAGAGACAAGACAAGGGGGAATGGCTTTGAACTGACAGAGAGCAGATTTAGATTAAATACTGGGAAGAAATTCTTTATTGTGAGGGTGGTGAGGCACTGGCCCAGGTTGTCTGGAGAAGCTGTGGATGCCCCATTCCTGGCAGTGTTCAAGGTGAAGTTGACTGGGGCTCTGAGGAACCTGGTCTAGTGGAAGGCATCCCTACCCATGGCAGGGGTGTTGGAAATACATGATGTTTACAGTCTCGTCCAACCCAAACCATGCTATTGGTCCTATAATTATTATTTACTGTATTATTATGCCCTTAAACTGTTACCACTCGTTCCTTATAAACAGTGCTACAAGTCACTGTAATTTTTCTCTGCTCATTATTAGTACCATGAAAATGGAAAGATTTCTAAAATGTTGTAAGATACAAAAAGAAATTACAATAACAGTATTTGCATAGCTGAATCCATCCCACAGTTCAA